TCCCGAAACAGCGGCTTGCTAAGCACAATTAGAGAGCACAAGGACTCACGATACGATGGATGGCGGACTGTAAAGGGTTGGTAAGTTTGTTGAGTAGGCAGACAAGTGCGGAGAGCTAGGATCCAATAATTTACCTTGAATCCTTAAGTGTGTTTTTAAAATTCAACCGCTATTTTCTCTCTAAGATGACCATGGACAAGCCTCTGCTGCAATGAAGGAGGTGGATTATCTAGCCAGCGGAAACGGGCTCTTATTTGTTCGTTCCGGTCGATAAAATGGCATCATTCATTAGTTACGCCGGCATCCATCCGGAGTAAATGCGGTTTTCGTTCAAACTGTTTTGTCCAATAATAATGGCACCTATACCTTTCCGCGGCTTGGACCATCGAGTAATGGGAGATTGCTTCGTTGGAAATTTTATGTAATTCATCACTGAAGCACCGTTTTGTCGGAATAAATTTGAACAAGGCAAAGGCGACGAAACATGCAGAAGTGATTGACATCATAAATTTCGTGACCTCATATTCAACTGCACACGGTCATTGTGTACTTATAAGACAAGGTTAACTATTCAACCAGAGATTGACCTAGAGATAGGTAAAATAAAACATGGATTGTTGGTCTGGTACGCGGGTGCGCATGGCGTAGGGGGAGGGGGAGAAGTCATCTAAGCAAGCGAGTTTACATTACGATGAAAACCTGACAGGCGTGATTAAAATTCAACACACGGGACAGCAGTCAGTTATGTGGGGGGAAGGGGAATGGGAGAACGGGTTTGGGAATGGGGTTATGTCAGTGTCGATCATTACCATGGCTGTGCCAGGTTTATTACGTGGTTCAGCTGCTCACAGAGTTCTGCGTTCCTCCTCCGTATTGCAGCGGTCTCTGCAAAGCGCAAGAGACGCCCAGTCGTCGCCCGAAACAGGACCTTAAATGCAACCATTGAGTCCACCGTAAGGCCCGTGTCCACTAGGTGCTTTGTGATTGAGCTCCTGTGCACCTCATTTTCCGCCCCAAGCAGCTGTGTGGACAGATCGACGGTGTAACTGTGGGTAGTCCATTGGGGTCAGCCCTAGCAGACATTTTCATGTCGAACCTCGAGCGAAAATTAGCCTCTAACTTACAATGGTCAGATGTGGTTATGTGGCCCAGCCTGAAGCAAACAAACCCCAGCCACCTGTAGTAGGGAGCGATGGTAATGGGGGTCATTACAGGTGGGACCGCGGAACGCACAGGCGACGAGGTCAGGTAGCTGTATGCAAATGAAAGGCTATTGGGAATGAGCGGCTGTACTTTGACTGGTTGGGAAACAGTTGCCCTAATCCTTACCCCTACCCAAACAGTATTTTGTCCATCAGGTGGGGCTACATAACAACAACTCACCCTTACAACGAACCTCATCCTATAGGCGATGTGTGGATGACACTTTAGTCATAGTCAAAAACCGAAGGGACGGAGAGTTACTACTTAGGGTTATGAACAAAGCAAATTTACGATCGAGCATGAGAAGGACGACACACTGCCGTTCCAAGATAGTCTTGTACGTAGGTGGGCAGATGGTTTCATTCAGAGATCCATCTACCGAAAATCCACCTGGAAAGGACACTATACACACTTCCTCAGTTACGTTCCAATTCAGTGAAAACGAAACTTGGTTCTGTGCCTGTTCAACAGAGCCATCAGAATCTGTTCCTCAGATACGGTTGATGACGAACTTACTTTCCTGAAGAACGTTTTTTCGCTGAAGTGGGTATCTGGAGAAATTCGTTGATATAAACTGCCGTCCCAGTCAAGGAAGTCCTGCAGAAATATTCGTGCCGCATAAGCCAGTGACCATCTACCTCCCTTTCAAGGGTGATAGTGTGTCAAACGTGATCGAGCGACGACTTCGGTGCACAAGTGAACTGATGTATGCCGCCTCAAACGTATTGTTCATAAGTACTACAACGGCAATTCCAGTTAGACCAACTAAAAACATTCTGCCTATGCACGCCACATTAAAACTGTATTTACGAGTTTACCTGTAGTTGCGGATGAAAAGGCGGTTGGCAGCGCAGTCAGCTGAACACATGCCAAGGTGGCTACTCAAGGCGGAAAATAAGGTACCCGGGAGCTCAATTACAAAGCACCTAGTGCACACTGTTGCATTTAAGGTCCTGCTTCGGGCGACGATCGGGCGTCTCTTGCGTTTTGCAGAGGCCGCTGCAATACGGAGGAGGAACCCAGAACTCTGTGAGCAACTGGACCGCGTGATAAATCTGGCACTACCATGGTAAGGATCGGTAATGGACGAAACCCCGTTCCCATATACACCCTTTCATTTCGCCCCCATTCCCCCTCCCCGACAAGACTGAATGCTGCCCGCGCGTTGCACTTTTAATCACGCCTGATAAGTCCTCACTGTAATCCTGACTCGCATGCTTAGATGACTTCTCTCACCCTCCCCCCCTCGCCATGCGCACCCGCATACTTAACCCATGTTTAATGTTACCTATCAGGTTTTATCTCTCTAGGTCGATCGCTGATTGAACAGTTTGCCTTGTCATATAACTATGCAATGATCTCGTGCAGCTGAATGAGAGGTCTCGAAAATTATGACGTCAGTAAATTCTGCATGCTTTGTCGCCTTTGCATTTGCCAGATCTGTAAAAAGCCCTAATACCACCGGTCCCGTAATACAAGCGACAAGAGTTTGTTTACTTCAGACTGGGCCACATAACCGCTACGGGTGCCCCCGACAAGGTCAAACCCGCCGCTACATAGACACCTTGAAGATTCCTTTGAAGTGATCACAAATCAACCTGAGACCTAGAATGATCTCCACGGGACCGAACGGCCTGAAGAAGAACAGCGAAGGCTGGAGCACCACTCTATGGAGCCAACCGGACAGCCATTTCCAAAGCCAAAAGAAAAGCTCGCAAGTTTCAGGTACCCGCGACCCGCAGCGTCAACATCCAACCTATCCCAAAATTTTTGGACTGTCAACGTACATTCCGCGCGCGGGTCGGCCTCGCAAGACATCTTCGGACCCAATGTACTAACGACCCGATAACTCAAATGCTGCCCTACCAATCCTACCGGCGTCCACGACGACGATCATCCACACCACGGACAACAATTACCACAGCTCCCACTCCTACCACCGTTCAAGGTACTCCCGACGCCCCGTCAACAACAACCATTACCACCACAACCTCCACCTACAGCGAAGTGGACTCCGTCCAAGCCCGTCCTCATGGAGATCCCATTTCTACCCCACGCATCGACCTAGTCGGTCACCTGCAAATCCATCGCATTGCAAGCGGCTCATCAATGCCAGGAGCCGCCACATATAATCGCTGAGTCCGTCCTCACTGTCCACGCACATTTATTTACGGCGTGGGCCTATTCGGTCACATGCGTATCCACAACAGCGAAATTCATCAAGATATCGACACACCTAGCACACCCTGCACATCCGCCAACTCGTCCGTCCCCAGACCAATGGACCCTTCACTCACCGGAGCGACTACCACCACCAACGCCCAAGTCACTGATATCTCTCACGTAAGTGGGGAGTGTGCTCTTCGGCCGCTCTGTTGCATGGAGGATCTGGGCAGTCTCGCCCCTGTGTGCGCGCGGGACCAATTCGTGCGTGTAGCGTGCGCAGACAAGCTGTTCTCGGTTCCGTCAGCCCCCTTTGCATCAGTTGGCCGGTTCGGACAATCGACTGGTACAGGAGATAGGGCAGAGTTAGAGGGGGGAGGACTCTGAGCGCCTGATTGCTCACTATAAACAATCTGACGTGCCTGAGGTTACCACTATGCGCAAAAGTCGTAGCTTGGGAAGTTGGCGCCTGGCGGTTCAAGTCAGACCACGCAGGCGGCCCAGTTGTGTACTGAGTAGCCGACTGGAGGACTGAGAGTCAGACTGCGACGGCTCTCTCTTGATAGCACTCTCTCTCTCACATGTGATATTGGAGCGGCTCTCCGCTTTTGTGTGTAATTCTAGTGTGTTGGGGGAGGGGGAGGGCAGGTCGTGAATGCAGCACGCGCAGGCAGACCCCATAGCTCTGTTAGCCACTGCGTCCATTTCCCGCACCTGAACACTGACCGGTTCGAGCAGTGGACTGGTGTCTGGGAGTGAGGTCGACGGTCTCAGCGCACGCTTCTCAGTATAAACCATACGACGCGCTAAAATATATCACGGTGAGCTAAGAGCTGTGGCTTGGAAGCCTGCCAACTGGCGGGATAACTCGGCCCCCGCAGTCAGCCCAATGCATGTTTGTGTGGAGTGGCCGACTGGTGGACTGACAGTCCGGCTGCAGTGGCTCCTTAATGTGGCCTCTATGACGCTCCCGCTCAATGGACTCGGAGGCGGTGTGGTGGCACGCCCATAGGTGCGGTTTTTTCCGAGCCGGCCAACTCCGGTCTTCTCGACTCAGTCTTGACATCGGACCCAGGTGGGGGAAAGAGCGAGAGTGCGGTAGACGTTGCGCATGTCTATCATCACTACAAACGAATTCACGCACAAGTCTGTGTCCCTACACCCACCCTGTTGTGGAGCACATGATGGACGTCGTCGGAAACGACGGTCGCACGTCCAATATGGTTCTAATCTTTGGTTGAATAAAACACTAAGAAGTCTCAGACAGATGCTGTCCTAGTTTTCCTCGTCTCTTTCTTTGTACGTAGGGAAAATTTATCTTCAACGTGTTTTCTGTAGGGGACTACAGCTCAGTAAAGTCGTTTTTCAATTCCCAAACTAGCCACAGTCAGTCCAGTTCGCCGTCTGTTCCGCTTGCTCAACAGCTAGACCCAACCACAGAAACCGCACACACACACTCATCTGCCCTTCTCTTTTCCTAGAAGCACAAAGGCAAAACGAGATGCATTTACTCGTAAAAGATACAGAAATGAGGAACCGTCAACGTCCCCTTTGACTAGTTGTTAGGCGAAGCGGGGGCAGTATGTATAGGCAAACACAGGCACATCCATCCACGTGCACAAACACAAACGCACTTATTTACACAATTGGTTGAGGTCGGGGCCGAGTAAAAAGGACTGCCTGGAGGACGGTCCAGATCCGAGGCGAATGGGAGCGAGCACCAATTGGCCGACCACTTCACCTGCAGAGAAAAGATAAAGGGGGGGAGCATATAAACTACAAGTGGTCACAGCAGCAGTGGGCAGGCTTACTAATATGCAGATTAGCACTACTCTCAAAACAGGGACCAACTAAGTGCCCAAACGTGTGTTTCGAGGATTTTTGGCTGCTGTTGGTGTCTCTGTGTTGATGCTGGCAGCTCGCCCGTCAGTCCCTCAGAGTTTTCCCCTTGTGGTTTCGAGCGCACTTTATAGTTCTTATTTCCTCCGAAACTAATGTGTGAATCTGGAGAAAAGTCCTCAGAACAAGCCTCTTCAGGCCTCGAAGTCCACACACAAATCTCAGTCACAAGTAGAGACTTGACAGCAAGAAAAAACTGAGGGACTAATGTGATTGGAAGAAGATTTTGAACACTGGGGAACTCCTGGTGAACCAAACTGGTTGCCTATTAGCTTAGTTGTTGCCTATCCGACACGTTCACAGGTGGCGGATAGCGGTAGCTAGGGTTGGCTGCAAAATATGCAGATTCTCGGGTCTGACAGATAAGCGGTCACAGCGACAGTTCTACTAGGACGCAGAGGGTTGTGATCTGGCACACCGACTTTCTTATAAAATACCGCAAAGCGCGGTGATGACACTGTGACATGGCGATCGTGAAACTCCGTCAGATAAATTTGCTTGCCATTACTGTCGTACAGTTAGGTTCCTGGCCTAAGGCGCTAAAGGAGACAATCTCAAATAAACAAATATGTGATCTGCCTCTACTCAAAATCCCTAAGAAACCGTGAAAAAGTTCGGTGCGACGTCCTCGAAGCCGGCTAGATCAGGCGTGACCATAGCCTTACCGAGCACAAGTAATTATGAACGCCGCGTGGGTGCATTATACAGGAGTGGATAGATGGAGCACGCGTCCGGGTTTTTTTTTATCGCTTTCTCAGCTGTTCCAGACCTTAGAACGTCGGGGCTTTGGAGAAACCGCAGTCTAAATAGTTCCATCATCCTTTGGACACGCATAACGGTGAGTCAGAGGGAATTAGTGGGTTAAGAGTGTACAGAGTGCCCGAGGAGGGGACAGAGTCCTATGAATGGACAGCCATGGTAAGCGTCTAGCTGCCCGAGAGGGCCAGTCCACTATGACCCTACCTGATAATCGGCTACACGGAACTGAGCTGTGTGTAACGCCCCCACTCACAACGACAGATTATGCTGGCGACAAAGTCGTCTGAGGGTTAGCCGGAGTGTCTCGTTATTTGCTTAAGTTATGTCACGGTCTGACTCCGTCAGTATGGAGGGACAAGCAGTGTTGTGGTGCGCATAAATCGAGCCTCATCTCATTATCGCCCATTTTGACCTCGCGCTGCCGCTTGGTCAGACTGGGAAGGGGGAAATCAATGCTGAAAAAAGTCTTCTCGACTACAGGCAAATTGAGTTGAAATTCAGCATCATTACAACACAAATAAGGGTGGCCATCTCCTAGTACGGCGGACGAAATACCAACTAGTAGTTTTACCGAACATGTGCGCAGCACTACCTTCAGCGCCGACGTAGACAGTGGCCAAATTATGCTCACTTTAAATCTAAAGCGGCCAGATACTTGAGTCCAACAACAATGTTATACATCCATACATGCTCGCCGCTCATTGTCCATTATCAGCCGAGGTAGGGACTCCGCTGATTATGCCCGATGGAAATTGTTCACGAGTGCAACTGACACTAGCTGGAAGTCATATATGGATCCTCGAAGCCGCGGCATTGAGGGGTATAGAATCCCCCCTAGAACGCTGTCTTCTCCTTGCCCCATCCGGGTTCACTAATAGACGCTCGACACGCCGATAAACCGAACAAAACTATTAGTGGAAGCGATGATGAGGAAGAACAAGGTGATCAACAAGTTCACAGTAGAAACCTTTCTGGAGTGCAGACATATCCTAGGAGGGCGGCGGAGGAGGAAGAGGTATGGAGGAGGGTGAGGGGATGGAGAAGAGGCGACTGTCGTTGGAGCGGACAAAAACCGGTGCCGACTGTTGCTCCTCCTCCAAAGAAACCTCGGCCCACTGGCTCCTTGGCTGAGTTGCTGGAGGCGGCGCCTCAGTCGGCGTCTTTGGCTGCTTCTTGGTCTGGTCTCGGAGGCTCAGTTTCAGGCGTGTACCACTTTCAGCGCCTAAAATCGGAATCAGGGGGGGGGGGGTAGAAAGATGGAAAAAATGCAGAGGGGTCCGATAAGAGGGTAAAAGACTGTAAAAAACTTTGCCCTATGGGCACGGACAAAACATCCGGGAGGGGCGGAACAAAGGCAGCTCGACTTCTACCAATAGTAACGAAAATGAGACTCCAGGGCGACGTATGAGAGGACGGAGGAGTGTACTTGTGCTCTTACGCTTCATGTGGCGATCTCGGCCCTTCGTCTTCAGAGGCCGGGTAGTCCTGTACATAGTTCTTACGATATGGCGCATGGGATGCATGCGTACTATGCGTAGATTCCTAAAGGTGACTGTCGGTGCGAAATTGATCTAGTTTCGCTGTGGCTTCGTCCCCGTCGACTGCGGCGATAACCAGCAGTCCCAGTCTCGAGTTTTCGTGATTGCTACTGAGACCGACTAAGTTCAGGCAAGGTGGTTCACATCTACCGCAATATTCTGTGAGCACCCGTAGGCCTCTTTGCGGAAGGGCACTAAGGATTACTTGAGTTTGCCTCAGACGAAATACACCAGGCGAAACGTTAACTGAAAGTGAGAAATACGATCTCGCTTAGAAAGGATTACTTGGGTGCCGTTGTAATACCGGTCATCCAGCAGCATAATCCAAAGATACTTCACTCACGTCAGGACGCCGGCTTGTGAATGCGTTCTTCCCATCCGCGTGCGAAAATTCCATTCACCAAAAACGACTACTTAGGTAGTATGAGTTGTTCCGTGGAGATTTGATGTCTTTATAAATCTAAGCACATTTTACAGAGAGCATGCAGGAAGATATCCTTTCTGACACTTATTTGTAGTGGGTGACGTCCTCCTTAGATTTTCTGCCCTCGATGAAGGTTTTATAAAACGTTTTTCAGTCCCCGAATAATTATGTACTCGACATGCCGTTTCGCTAGTGTTTTGGGTTTTTAAACGACAAGTTGTAACCTTTCTGTTTGATAAAAGCTATACACACTCCTATGCTATTAAGAGGGCGTCATAGATAGCTCATAAGATTCTGCTGTAAATATGGGCTACGTTGTATAATTCATAGAGAGTATCAATGAAAGGACAGACACAGTGCTATTTGAATGGGCATTCCATGGTCTTAAAAAGTTACATGACTAAAAACTTATCGAACAGAAGGGTGGTGTTTGAAGAAGACGTCATTTGTTAAGAAATGAGTACAGAAAAGGATATTTCGGTTTAGGTGGATTTGGGTCCGAAAAAGCACGCATCATATTGTTCTAAAACCTTGGGGGCCAGCGGAAGCGCAGACAGGTATCAGTAAATCTTTCTTTTTTTAAATTGATGTGCGCGATCCTAATAAAACGCAATCTTCCACAAAATTAGACCAATGTGTAGTTACGTTTAAACGGGTGCCGAAAATTATCGTAATAATCCACGGTACTTGAGCCATGCAACTTTCCCAAGTGTGATTCGCACACATGGCTAGGAAAGTTCTCGGTAAAAAGCCAAGCATACACCTGTACAGAAGTTCACTTAGTGCTTCGATGCCAAAAAAATCAGATTCGCAACCTTCGTAAGTAAGGGCGCACAGTGTGCCTTTCCCAAGTAGACAAGTAAAAATCAATAAATAAATTTCGCAAGTATTGGTTCTATACAGAGGGAACGAGATCTTGTCCATATTTTAGAAAGAAAATGAATTACGTTAAAACACTAGAAACATAGCCTAAATGACGCAGTTGTCCTCCAAGGCAAAACTCTACGGGACAGGCTGTCCAGGAAAAAACCCGCCGTGATATCACTTTTACCCAAGGGTGGTAATGCCTCAAATATAACGGAATGGAGACTACATCGCACATGCTTCCGATAAATGTGACTACAGAGGCCATGTTTCTGAATGCAACTTCAGTTTACCAACGAATAAATAGGAACATGTGGAGACAAGCGTATTAGGTAAACTCAAAAACAACTGCCTGACAAGTAGATTAGGCATTCACCAAACCGGCTTCCGCAATCTGAAAACAGAATTCCTCATTCCTCCGTTGCAGGGTATTTGTTGGGTGGCGAACATCCTGCAGACCGAAATATCTTCCGAGTCCACATTTGAACTCCAAAGGCTCGGAAACAGTCTTTGCTCAGCGGGATAATCCGAGCTTGCGTAAACAACTAGATTGTGTCATTGTCCCGGTCTCACGATGGTAGTTCCCGGAAGTTTACTTCACATCTTTAAGTTGCCTCTGACAATAAAGTCACAGACGTTGTTGTTCTATCTGTCCGCTTTTGCATTACTACCACTGATAAGACGGTCATGGGAAATGCGACACTGTTTCACACAGACGTATTGAATAAATTCAAATTTCCGTGTACCTTTCATTGGCTTCTCTTCCTTGTGAAGAGATGAGGGACAATTGGTGAATTGTCGTGAGATCCGCTGTCCCGATTATATTATATATTGCACAAAATTTGGCCTTCTTCAAGATCCAAAGTTACTTTATCACGTTGACAAGTCGAATGACTCTATCGATGGAACTAAATAATGCTCCCCAGTGTTATCCTCCGCCGTGTCTTAAAGTGCAGACCCAACATTCTGAAACTTAACAGGCAAACAAAATTAATATAACATGCATGAATCGACATCACTACTGGCGGTTAACCCGCCTGACTCAAATGCCATGCAATTCGAATAGTCAATCTAACCTTCAAGAAGAACTGGAGAAAAGAAAAACTAAGGATGCGTACATGAGATGAGAGTAAATGTTATTTGAAACCAGCAGTAGTAACCTAAACTCAAAAGTGCAACTAACTGCTGCTACTGCTGGACACAATAGTTTTCGGTCAGTGTAGATGATTGGATACCCAGTCATTCATATTAGCAGGGACACGCTTTCCAATCAGTCGGCGCCAACCACCATTTATCGCTTCTGCACGCCATTTGCAGACACCAGAGCGCAAAAACCCAGTACCCACTAATCGGTAACATATAAGTTTAACTTTGAAGTGCAGATCCGCTATCCCCAGCGTTGTTTACAGGATCGAGCCAGTTTATGTGTGAAGTTGATCCCATGAAGTGAAATACTCTCCTACCCGTAGAGATCGAATCCTCGACCATTTCGAGGGGTTGGAAGGAGGAAACCGTTTTCTTCGCTGATGCTGGAGGAACAGTTTCAACAGGTGGACGCGTGGCGACCGGAGGGGGGGAGGAGCGTTGTGAAACTTGTGGTAGGCTGTTGATATTGGTGATGGTAGTGACAGTAGGCTTTGACAAGGAGTTTGGGAGAAATCTGATATCTTCGGTAGGAGAAAGGGGCGGTTGAGATGAGGGAAGCTAAAAGAAAGCAAATTATAACGTTCAGAATGTAGTAGAGAAAAGGTACAACAAAAGTAGTGAATAACAGCTGAAACTAGATATTAGCCTTCCAATTAAGCGCCAAGATTGTTGGAAGGAGTGCTGACAATGAAGAGTGAGATGGCCATTTCTGGTTTACTAGTCTGGGATTCAAACCTAAACTCTTTAGCCTATAAGCACTAAGTCCGAGCTCTAGAGCTGCCTGCCGGCTCTAAAGTGCAACGGGACAAACATTTCCCACAACTTGAACGGCTTTCGCACGGTAATACCTATTCCGCACTCCCTTCAATAAGGACCAACGTAGTCTATATGCGAACTAAAGCAACGCTTTATAGAAGTTCACTAAACAAGCTTCCAATTAAAAACTCGACAGAATTTCAGGACGAAGGTGAAAGATGCCGTAGCGCCGCATCATAAGTAAAACTATGACAAGTTGAAACAAATGACCTGCCAGCCTGCAAGCCAAGCCTTTGGAGATAGAACCAAAAAATAACCAATGAACACCGCGTACAGTAAGTCCTAACTTGAAGCACATTTGGTTTCTCTCAACGCCAGATTTATGATCAGATGAACGGAGATAATACTATATTAAATTTAGATGCAATTATAAATCGATGTCCGTTACTTTTTGTGACGTCAAATAAGCGGTGTCAGGAGAAAGGACTTTAAGAGGGCAAATTTATTACAACGTAAGTGGTTACTGGAAAAAGGACGGCTGACGCTGTAAGTCGTGCGATGCTAAAAATCTGGCCCTACTACAATTCAAGTCGAACAGCGCAAGTGCCATGCGTTGCCAGCAGCTGTTGTCGCAGCTAATTACAAACCTACAGATTCGGCCTAGACGAGGAAGGTGTTATGATTGGAATTCAGAAAATTGGACAATAGCTGGGAAATGCCCAGCAGTCCTCTTGCCTTTTATGGTCATTCTGCTTGGCTACCAGCAAGTGTCTGCCCAACATATGTAGTTCACCTACTTTTTCCAAAAAAGAGAAGTGACCGCTAGCGACTGGTCACGTCCGTCCGAGCATTGGATATCTGGGTGGGTAGCACGGATATGCATTAGTTGTATTCACAGAATACCTTGACGGACTTTAACTCCTAGATGCCATAGTACTGTAAGTAGGCGCTTTTAGCGTGTTGACATTGTTGGTAAATCATGTACGTCCAGCAACCACGATACTAACTCACAAAAGTGCAGTTACATCCTTAGACCTACGCAAGGATAGCAAAGTTAGTCGGAGACAGCCGGTATTCACGCCGTTTATTATACCGTTTTACATTGTTTTGAGTACAGCTGTGAGCAGATGACACAAAGTTACTTGTGTCAGTCTGGCATGGTCTATTATAAAGACGGCTGAGAAAGCCCGAGAGCAGGAGATATATGACAAATTTCGAAGCAATGTGAGATCATGTACAATAACAAAGTAAGTGCGAATAGGTAGACCAAAGTGCCATATAGACGGATAGACCGACCTGTTGAGCATCCATAGAGAGCAGTTTGGCTGTGACCGATGCGGCAGCAACAGCAGCAGCAGGTGGAAGCTGAGAAGTTGTGTTGGTGCAAACCCCATCAGGTGGCGAAATAGCTTTACACACCCGCAGCAGCTGACCACCCAGATCGAACTTGTTCATACTTAATGCAGCGTCATTTGCCGATTGAACAGTTTCAAACTCGATGTAGCCGAAGCCTCTGTGGAGAGGAGGATGTAACGGGTCGGGAACTAGTTTGCACATAGTTATTTTCCCAAAAGCTTCAAAAACAAGTGATAAGTCGGGCTCTGTCAAGTCGAGATGTACTCCTGCGACATAAATCCGTCGGTGAAGTTGGAATTCCTCGACTAGATCATTGATAAAAGTGTCAGCATTTGGTAGGTTGCTCGGACGGCCAACTTTGAGCAGGCGTCCGCCGAAGTTTGTCCCATTCATTTGGTCAATAGCCAGTTGGGCAGCTTCGGGGTATTCGTACTCAACAAAAGCAAACCCCTTATGCTTCTGTGTAGCGGGGTCCCAACTCATGCTAACTGACTTAACAGGACCGAAAGGGAGGAAAGCCTGCTTGATCATCTCCTCTTTTATATCATAAGCGATAGATCCTATGTAGATCCTATTCAGCAGAGTCAGCGTCTGCGTTCGTTTCGCAGCATTGGTCTGGAGATTTTGTTGGGATTGTGTCTGCTTAAGAAGTGCTGTCTTTATGCTCTGTTCGAGAGCATAACCCTTAGCTCTTTCTATGGCCTCTTTCTGGTGCTTTTCAAGTTTCCGTAAAACAAATGGGCTATCGGGTTTCTGAGCACCTGGTCCGTTGTAAACTGGGCCATGTGCAGCGATAATTACGTCTCCCGGGGACAGAGTAGACAAAATGACGGATTGTTCAGACATGGAACCGCACAAGACGCATGCGAAGGAGACCAGATTTTCGCCTGGCTATTGTGTAGTTGTGGGCTTACCCACGTAGCTTCCAATGTCGGGTAGCGACAAGGTGGGATCATGATCATATTGAGGTAAATATTATGGAATTGGGAGATGAAGGTCGAGTGCGTGTAACTTGATGAAGAGTTATCTGTCAAATATATTTGAGATTATTGCAATCCTGTGGGAAACTTGACAGCCTAGGGAAGGTTTGGGCAGTTGATGGCTTGCCAGCCAAAAGTAGAGACAGAGGATGCGTTTGTGGGAGGGTGTAGCCACTTAGGCAGAAAGTAGTTACTTTTTCTAAAACTGGGGAGCAAAATTGAATACGAAAGTTATTTGAAAAAAATCGAATCGTAGTAAGGGTCCAGAGAGAACAAAATATCTACAGAAGGCAGACACAGTTAAGCAAAAATGACATGTTTCTGAAACAATATTGGAAAATTAACAAGGTGCGCCGATACTTTGCTGTCAACAAAGTATGAATGTATAACTTTAAGTGACTAAAATATGGGCAGCATTCCATTTTCATGTTCCTTACATAGTAAAAAATATGATGGAGCGGTCGTGGCAGACGGGACTACCTGCAAGATTGAAGTGTGAAAATGCTAAAGCCTTCAGACGGTTGGAGAATGTAAAACCCTTATCCTTATCTGCCGTCCCATCCCTCTTTGGTCCAACCTGAGTCCCATTTGGAAAATTAGCATTTTTCGTGATACTGCTAGCAAAACTGCAATTCATAATTCATTCACTAAACCTGCTCTCAGTTTCGATAGCACTTTGTTTGAATATCACCTGCTTTAACGTTGAGTTGACGCGTTTCTTAGATAACTCGTCGGGATGCTCACGAATGCTCGCAGAATAACTGCGCTAAAAGTTAGTTATGCACACATATTCCTAATCATGCTGAAGGGGTTGTACGTTTCGATCCACTCAGTACTCTTAATAGCTTTTACTTTTCAACGACCTGAGGGCACCTTTAAAACTATCCACCTTTCAACACTGAGAGAATCTCAGTCTTTCTACACCGTCTGAACAATATTAGCTTTTAGCATACTGTTGTAAGAAGCACCTTGTCGCAAAATAGAAGTTGATTACGTCCGTGATCGTCAGTTAAGCTACAGCGAAGCTAGGTCATGCTAATTACACGTCTAAGAGAACTTTAAAATAGATTTGACCAAAGCAAAGGTCTCTACGCGTCCTCTTAATAACTGCCACACTAGGAACGATGACCCCAACCCCTTGTAGATGTGTCATACAGCGACAGAATATCGGCCAAACACGTGTCTGGGCATTTAAATAATGCCAGTGTCGTCAGTTTGTTGCATCCTGCAAAATAAATGTTAATTCCTGTACGCTAAGTTCACACTGACCGCTGTTTCTGCTATTTGTCATAGCATACACGTGATGCATATTGACACGATGGATTTGCCTACACCACGAAGGAGCGCTAGCTGCTCGCCTTATGCATGTCCATCAGGCTGTAACGCAACAAATGATGCGAGACGGCAAAGTAAGGACGTAAAGGCACTCATCACGGAATTGTGCAACCTAGCGACGGACCTTGACGCCAGAAACTTAAACCGCACCCGCTGGACGTTAGTTTAACGGATGGGATGTTAGAAGAATTGGCTTTGGTTGAAAGATTCGAAGCTACCTTTGAGAATCAACCCCTGAACTTGCCGTTTGAGATCGACGCGAACACCATGAAAAAGGTGGTCTCTGATTTAGCTTACCATCAGTACAAGAAAGTAAGATTGAGAGACAGGTTTCCTCCCTGAAAGATCACTTTATGTGGTGATCCAGGGAATCCCTGAGGCTACTGGCAAAGCTCCAGAGGACAGTGTCAAGCAGGACCTTTTGACATTCCAGAACTTACTGAATGACACTCGGGAACCCGGTGGGGCCTATAGTTAGGGGCAATGCAGAGGAGATGCAACCAAGACTTCATGGGAAGCAAGAAATAGGCAGATCTAATCTTGTATCGAAAGTCCAGGCCATGAAACAACAACCGTTGTGCGCTTTTTCAGACAGACTACTCTCCCCTCGATCAAATGAAAGGAAGGACGCCGATAAGAAGGCTAAAAAGGCGGTAGAGCGGGAGAAGAAAATCGGGAGATTGCAGACTGCGAAATCATAAAAACGGAACGCAAGCTTTTATGGAACCTTCCGGTTAAATTAACTGCTACCACTCCAGTCATCAGTTCGATCGAACACTTGTAAATTTGAAGAAAGACCGTGAATCCGATATGTCGTGCAAAATGTACAGCAATAATTGTCAGGTGCAAGAACCACAAAAAAATTTTCAGAGACCGAGAGAACCAACAGATGATAATGATGCACAACAGTGTGCAAAGTCTCTTCAGCAAAATGGATGACATTAGACTGACCGTGGCTCATTCGCAACGTGACATTATAGGCCTAACTTAAACACGATAAAATAGTATAGAAAAAAATACGTTTATTATAGCACCTCTTAGGCACTGTCAGTCTCCTTTGAACACAGGAAAAAATCTAAATTAAACTCATCCAATTCGGCTGCACTTTGACTTCATTCGTTTTGGGTGTCTGATTAGTAAATAGATTGCGAATTCGGAGTTAGCTCGAGGTTAAAAAACCTGAGAGTTGTTCAAGACTGTCCTTCTGCAGCTCATCAACAACCACTGCCCACTGACTAGTGTAAGACTGAACAAACGCCCTGAGTGGCTAAATAACAACCTTAAGAAAGAAATCAACAGGAAGCACAAATTGTGGAGAAAATACTGCGTCACCGGGCAAGTTGAATATTTCAACACCTACAAGACACAGAGGAACAAACTGAGGAACCTGATCATGAAGACGCGGCGGAAATTCGAGAAGAACTTGCTACAAAAAGCAACGCAGAATTCAAAATTACTCTACAGTTACCTCCGACGAAGTACAGGGAACAGGCATCAAATTCCCTTAATAAGGACTACTGATGGCGTTGAGATTGCTAATAGTAGAGATAAAGCTGCGTATTCTTCACAGTTTTTCCAATCAGTCTACACCAACGAGGCAGGGTTCCTTCCTCCCTCCACAGAAGAACTGCCGACTCCAAGCGTCAGTGATATACTCTTCTCAGAAGGCATTGTCCGAAGGGAATTAGAGGCATTGAACGAATCGAAGTCGCCAGGACCAGACGAGATTCCACCCAAGCTTCTCAATGAGCTTGCCAGTGAGCTTTCTGTGCCTTTGTCGATGCTCTTTCAAACGTCATTTGACACTGCAACACTTCCTATCGATTGAAAGCCGGCGCATATTACTCCGCTACACAAAGGAGGTAACAGGGCAGCGACGACAAATTACAGACCCATAAGCTTGACATGCATTCTCTGCAAAGTTATGGAAAGGATCATAAAGAGTGAGCTGATGCAATTCCTGGAAGTTCTCGGCCTGCTATCGAGATGCCAACATGGATTCCGAAAAGGAAGATCCTGCACGACAAGCTTGCTGCAATCTCTCCAGAGCTGGACCCGAGCTCTCGACGAGAAGCACGCGGTCCACATAGCCTTCATCGATTTCCAGAAGGCGTTCGACACTGTGCCACACCAAAGGCTCTTACATAAACTTAAAAAATAGGAGTCGGTGACAACTTTCTTAAATGGACCGAGAACTACCATTTGGGTCGACACCAGGCTGTGTGCATCGGTCGGGGAAAATCAAATCCCTCTACGGTCGGGAGTGGTGTCCCCCAGGGTTCAGCACTGGGACTCATTTTGTTCCTTATCTACGTGGACGATGCCGCAGGAGCTTTGGACTGCAAAGTAGCAATGTTCGCCGATGACATGAAGATATGGAGTGTTATTCGGGGTCCTGCCGACGAAGACAGACTACAGATAAACCTGAATCGGTTGGAGAAGTGGTCAAACCGTTGGCTCCTGCGGTTCAACGTTACCAAATGTAGCATACTTCGCCTAGGCAACACAGCCAGATCGGCCAGCACAAGAGACTACTTTCTGGGCGGTGCGGCCCTACAAGAGGTCGAAGCCCAAAAGGACCTCGGTCTTCTGACGACAAGTTCTCTTAAACCATCCGCCCATTGTTCGAGGGTAGCAGAAAACGCAATGTCTGTATTGTACGCCATCAAGCGTGCGTTTATGGACTTTGACGAAGGGGCTTTCTCAAAGACATTCGGAACATTCGTTCGGCCGCATTAAGAGTTCGGCATAGAAGCCTGGAGGCCGTGGGCGGTCGAGGATCAAAACTGCCTCGAACGAGTCCAGAGGAGAGCATCGAGAATGGTTAGGGGTCAAAGCTCCTTTCCTTATGCAACCCGCCTAGTAAATCTGAACCTCTTTCCTTTGAGTTACAGGCAACTTCGCGGGGATCTCTTGCAAGCCTTCCGCATTGTAAAGGGGTTGGATTGCAGTCTGGCCTTCGAGGACTTTATTGAATTTGCTACCACTACCAACCTACGAGTTACCCGTTCAAACTGCGCACCCAACAAGCAAGGCTAGATGTGCGGAAGTTCTCCTTCTCGGTTCGAGTGGTCAAACCATGGAATGAGCTTCCCGCAGATGTTGTGATGTCACCATCCATACAAACTTTTAAAAAGAATCTGGACATATTTATGTTCCGAAATGAACAAGAGGGATGAGAAGTCGAGCTCACCCCCTGTAATTCCTTCTGATTTTTTCCCACCATTATGGGCGTGTTGGAAATATTTCAACCCAGAACATTTACCTGTATACCACAAATTTTTTACGTTGCAAATAGGGTACTCATAGGCCTATTTCCCTCAACAAACTTAGCCGAAATGAACTGCGTTCCAAGGCAAAATAATAGCAAAGTTAGAAAAAAATATAGTATATACAATACGGTGATTTATGTTTGGAGTTTTGTATTATTTGGGTCATGAGTATATCGCCCTTCGAGGAACTTGAAGAACTTTGACATTAGTCTGATATTGAAATTGCGTTCGAGTTGAATAAATGTGAGTGTCTGCTAGCTGCCGATTGTCAGTCTATCTGGGTATCCACCAAGAGTCGGTCGTACCGTTCGTTTGTGTTTCTCATCTGGCTTACCACGGTTGTTTGGACTAGCAGCTAGAAGAGATGGGCGTATATCCAGAGCAATGACCATTCAGCGTAAGTTACAATCCAAGATATCAAAATAATATTGAACCATGTATCATATTGTTTTTGATAGTGTGACATTATAGGAGTATTTGTCGACTGTTTACCATGATCTAATATAGTTGTACATAGGTTTGATATGGCCTTAATATAAACTTGCAAACAACTAATGTGTAGGGTTTTATCGAATTGTATATTAATATTATTTCCTTAAAGGATAATAAGTGTCAGGCGGCTAGCTGATGGAAACGAAGAAGGGGGAAAGGATAGGATATTTATATTTGTTCTATGCTTATTGACAATGCTGTATATCTTTAATTTAACTGTTTTTAGTGCAATTTCCCGGTGTTATTGAAGTGGCTAGCTACATCAGAGCCATTTTGGACAAAATCCTGTATCATTGTACTGATTTGGAAAATGTCCTACCCTCATAGCATGTCGATATTGACGAGGTATACGTAGAGGGCCGCTTGTTGAGATATGCACCCATATCGTTCTCCTTGGTCAGTCGCCCTTTTGCATTCCGTTTTGATTGGCTGGCACACTTGTCGCGTTGCGTTTGCGTCGCGCGCAGGACGCCATTGCAATTTACTCTGCCGTGGTGTGCGCTCGCGTGACTCTGCTGGCGTAGCTTTATTGCTGCCTACATCATTTCTTCTGTTGTCTACATATCTGTTTAAGTCTGGTAATTTTAACTAACGTTACGCTAAGACAGGCATTTCTGTAGACGGTAAGAAAACATATTGCGTAGATACCATACTTGCCGCGTCCAAACGTAACGGTAAGACGACCCCACTCAATATGACGCCTTTTAGCTGCCAAAAAACAAACGCCCAGGTTCCCTCATGCAGTTCAAAGATGCATAAACAAATTCATAATTATTATTTTTTTATTACAGACCCGTCAGGGTCCCATCAAAGCAAGTAAAAATAAATTTACATACGAATTTTAGACGAGGTAGGCAGAATCTGTACAAAATGTAATTCATACTTTCTGAATTTGTAGTCCGTTAAGAAAAATGATGGGCGAGCGGTGAAAAAACTCAACATAAAAATTTAAAAATGATTGGAGTAATTTTACAGAAGAGAAAAACTCGCTAATAATAACATAAATATGCGGGCAGGGCTGGCCTGCATATGGCGGTATATAACGGGTTATAATCGGACATCGCCAGGGCAGAAATAAAAGTCAGCCTTGAGGGGTATGCATGCGGGTCGGACAGAACTGGCCTGCATATGGTATTATATATGGGATTCAGAATGGACTTCGTCAGGGCAGAATTGATACGCCGGATGAGGCTATTCGCGTCAAAGAGGACAGACGAGAGGAACCCAGACGCGATCGGCTACAGTATGCTTCAAGCCCAGCCGAGGAATGGGGAAGGCAGGTACGACCAAACTAGTAGACGGCGAATACGGAGACTTCCGCGGTGAGCGTCGACAGACCGCTTGAGGTCGAAATGAGGGAGATAACAACAAGAACCGCGGAAATCGTCTCTATGGTAAGGAGTGATAACAGTGGATTTAGTACCCAATTCAAAACAGGGATTCTAAAGATATAATTGTGGGTTTTCACTTGATCTGCGACTAAATCCCAAGAGAACCCTTCTCGAAATCAATAAGCTGAGTGTTCGGTAATGAAACCGTTAAAAGTGCCTTTACACTTTTTGGTGTACGGATTTTTGCGTAATTTCCACTTGAATACTGACAACTTAGGCGATGATCTAAGTTCTGGTGGAAGATTATTCGAAAGGAAGGCATATTTGGAAACAAAGAAGAGGGAGCGCTTAGATGTAGTGCAATGAGGCGGCGGAATCACCATGGAGGAGTTGCGCGTGGCATAAGACCGATATCTCGGAGTGAGAGTGTCAATAAGCGGAAGATTGGAGTTAGAGTTAATGCGAAAAGGGAAGCAAAGGCCAGCTTCGAATCTTGTAACTCCCAAAAACGTCATGTCCATCAGCCGAAATTTCTGACTATAAGAAGTGCTGGAGGCTACTTGAGAGAACAGTTTCTGGCGAAGATCCTCCAAACATTTTCGATCTTATAACGGCCACAGGTTTCCGTTAAACCAAAGAAAGGGCAGCAGTATTCGAAGCCGGGAAGAGCAAACATTTGATAAAGACTTAACATCATTTACGGAAGGAAAAAATTATGCGATACGAATCCACATGTCTGCGCGGCTTTGCCAGAGATTCTCTCTGCATGAGGTCATAAAGCAAGTTTATTTGTGTAACGTAAACCTAGTTCCTTTATGGTGAAGCATTCTGATAGTGGGCTATTCTGAAAAATTATGGCAGCAGGAAGTTTTGTAGGACCAAAAGACATGAAACTACACTTGGATGATGAAAACTCCATCTGCCATGTTAAACCTCATCTGCTTATGCGTAGTAAATCTGCATTAATTTTTTCAACCCAAAAGTTTGCGGTGTCCTTAGAGTATGAGTAAGCACACTTGAGGTTATCGACATAAATAAAAGTTTGCGAACCTCCGAGTTCAGTCGAAATATCATTGATGTAAAGAAGGAAGAGTAGCGGAGCCAGAACCGTGCCTTGAAGTACGCCACTCGTGATCGAGTGAGGTGTCGAGCAGCTATTACCGACCATGACTCTCTGATATCGGTTGGACAGATAGGACCTGATGAAGTCGAGTAGAGGCGGCCGGATGCCGAGAGCTTCCAATTTTACTAAAAGACGTCTATGGGGCACTTTGTCAAAGGCTTTGCTAGTATCAAACTAGATTGATGAAAATAATTTGACTGAGACGGGTGGACTTTTGCTGCCTGAGGACAAGCGTTTTGCATCGGCTATTTTGTTGTCAAAACTACACGACTACAGGAAATTAGCCGCGACATCCATTGGGCGAGCAGATCAAGGAACATTTTTCAACAAAAAGTTGTAAGCACGCCTTTGTCTATCCCTAGATTCACTGGCGATCAGGTGAAGGAGTCAAGACGCCCACATTCTTGAGAGGGAATATCGGAGATGTTTCCAATAGTTGACAGCAGAGTACCAAACCCTAGCATAAATTCATTGCAGTTGTCCAATGCAGACTGATTAAGCTGCCTACCAGTTACAGCGGATGACGGCTGACTAGTACTGTCTTCTGCCTTATATTTAGGTTAGCTTTCTCAATTAGATTTAGTTAAGCTTTCTGACTTAGATTTAATTACACCATGCTTACGTACAGAAGCCGAGGGACTTCGCCGACCTGTGACTTCTACTCTCATCCTGTCTTGAGGCAAGCTGCAATTAAGAAGACTTCTCACAGACCAGGTGACTGAATTTCACCTAGACGCTAACGATTACACAGTTAGAGAGAAATCGAATGCACGAAATGCGAATTGCAGAGTGCGTCTGGTGATCAACAGGCAAAGACTGGCAGAACTCAAATAGGAGATGGCAGCATGCAGTTCTGAGTGAATAGGCCTGCATTTAAGGAAATTTAATCAAAAAAACAGGGGCTCAAATTGTTAGGTCTCCCAGAAAAACCACTTAGATTAATATCTTCCACTTATCTTCGAATTTAAACCATCGGCTTGTCCTTGACTACGTCAACCGATGCTAGTTTCATGCTTTTGTTAACTGCCTTAGTTAATTTACGTATCCTTTGTCAATTTTGTGGATATTTTCTTTTCAGCCAGTTCAAGTAGTCGACTTGTATGCCAATTCGGTATAATTCTAGTATATATGAAGGATATGGGCAAAATCTTGGAAAACCCTATTTACAGATAGACGTATGAAGAAAACATGCAGATATTTACATAGCCGTTATGCCAGTCATTGATATCGTGTAAATGTTTGACCATCAAGCATAAATTTATCTAGTTTTCTTTTGAATGTATGTGCTATGTAGCCTTAGTGTTCGTAGTCAACTTATACGAATTGTTTATCGTTTTTTTACTGAATACCCAAAGCAATTGTGAAGCGTAATTACTGTGGCTATCACCGAAGCACCATATACAAACGCATTAAGCGTCAAATGAAGGCATATTATGAGGCCACTGAAGAGCCGGGGTCTGAGGTGCCCTCAACGTCGACAGCAGTTGGCAATCAATCGCCCGAACGAGAACTGCCTATATTGAGCTCTGAAATTTCTGCCGGTAGGTAATATACGTGTCTAAACGAATAATGGGTAAAGAGTCCGGGGATTACATGGACGACACAAACGCAGTTGGAGGCAAGTCCTTTCTGGGTGCTTTGAAAGAATTCACCCTCGAAATGCAAATGGTCTTATCTAATACAAAGAAGTTGTTTAATATGTTGCGTCATTTCCATCCGAAGGTACCTAAGGACCCACGGACACTACTGCTAACGCCTCGAGTGTACCATAAGAAGCCCCTAGGTAACGGCACCTACGTTCACTTGGGTCTCACAGATGAGCTTCGTCTTCGTTCGAGAGCAAGTATTTCCGATATACGCATTCAAGTGCACATCGACGGGATGAAATTTTTTAAAGAGTCTAACCAATTCCCATGGCCAATACTAAGTCGTATCAGCCATCCGGTAGTTAAACAACCCTTTGTTGTCGGCCTTTTTCCGGAACTAATAAGCTGGAGCCCCTGGACGACTTCTTGAATGACTGTATAATGGAACTGAAGGGTTTAATTGCTACTGGCCCGTGTGTCCCGTTGACAGGAAGGGTTGTTAGGGTAGCCCTAGAGAATATCGTCTGTGATTCGCCCGCTCGATCTTACGTCAGATAAGTGAAAGCCCAGAATGGCTATTATGGATGTGACAGGTATGTTGTTTCGTACAGATAACATCAGTTACTGTAAATATTGTCATGTTGGGTGCACCGTTGTCAACCGCATGACATTCCCTACGTACAGTGACCCGTTGCGGGGCAACAGGTCATTTCGATTGCGAAACCAGGCACTGCACCACAAGGTCAGGTCGCCTTTTGAGGATTTACCACTCGACATGGTAGCCTCATTTCCAATCGATTACATGCACTTTGTTTTTCTGTGTATAATGCGGAAGTTGATTCACTTGTGGCGACTAGGGCCAAGGTTGTCTGCTCAACTTAATGTCTCTATCGAAAGATGCAGTCAGTGTCTGCCGGCGGAATTTTCTCGCAGGTACAAAGCTCTTGACTCTCTCGAATATTGGAAAGCTGCCGAATATCGCAATTCCTAGTGTACATAGGTCCTACCGTTTTTTTCTCCTTTTCTCGATACTCCCCGTTATCACCACTTTTTTGTTATTGAGCGCCGCCATTTACATATTTTGCCACCCAACCTTACATACATCCTGGATTGATTTTGCCCGTCTCATGTAAACAGTTTTGTTATTGATGTTCGCCAATTGTGTAATCCAACAAACACTGTATATAAAATGCATTACCTCCATCACCTCCATGAAGAATGCTGTCGTTTTGGAGTGTTGGATAGGTTTTCTGCATTCCCCTTCTATTCCTTTTTGCAAACATTTCGCAGCATCATAAAAGGGCCGCAAACTTAGCCGTTAAGGTGTACAGGCGGTTTGTAGGAAGACGCCTGCCTGAGTTGCCAGCATCTCCATTGGTGCTGGACGACGATGATGGAGTAGCACGGCCTTTTCACTTGCGCCGCAGCTCCGGTGCCGTTTTACACAATGAATACGTCTTGTCGACTAAAGCGCCGGATGACGTGGTACTGATTGGCGACAGACCGTGTGTACTGACATCTGTTTCGGCTGACAGAATTCGGCCTTTGATGACTCCATTTATGCACATTAAGTTGCATATTAACTGTCGGGTTAAATTTGCAAACATTTACAGTTGTGTTAGAATCAAAATAAAACGCAATAAAGAACGATTGTTGTTGTTCAGGCTAAATTACTGCAGAAGCACAATAGGGTGCGAAGTGTTTGCAAGGTTGATTGTAAGAAATAAATTGGCCAAAATCTAGTTTTGTCGAAAACATGCAATCAGGTATTCGTTCAAAAGCGAATATGATGTCTACTCTCACCACCTACCTTGGTAGCGAGTTCTATGACCGGAGTAATCGTTGACCGAAGAAAAATTTCCCAACCTTGTGCTGATGGCCGTTTAGGTAAATTGGGCGCGCAAACTCGAAAAGTCATCAGGTGTCGACGAGCAACATGGCCATGGGCGATCCGGAATGTCCACAGCAGGTAACTCCCTACGTGCCTGTCAGACAGGAGGATAAATCGGGTTCTTTCATGCTATCCTGGTACTATAATTCCTTAGGACCATTGGCAAACTTGGTTGCTGTACGTTGCACCTGTTTGAAGAGATCAATACCTTTCCTTATTCATGGTGTCCAGATTGACATTCCGCAGTCCAAATGTAGACATACGAAGTTGCCGAAATTTTTTCCGTGGAGTTCAGAAAGAAATATTTTAAACACAAGCCTAATGCAGTGCAACGTACTAGCTGCCTTCTGAATCACCTTCATACAACGTCCTGGTGACACGAAATCTGCTGTCTCCACATATCTTAGTACACTTACCGTCGATAAAGTACTGGTGTTTAGAGGTAGTTTTGGCCGACGCTATGATGCACGAGCAGGTATTAAGATACATTAAATCTGGAAGGTCATTTGTTTGACCAAATATTTTGTTTATCTGTGTTCGATTACCTCTTTTGGCGTCGTTAACACAGTCGACGTCAGCCCATGGTTTATATTCTCGGCAACTATGGCAGTTTCATTATCCAAGTCCATGATGTAATGATTCACCCAGATCAGGAGTGGCAGGCTTAACACGGAACACTGTAAGGCACCATTTTTCATCACGACCCATTCCACGGTGGAATTAATAACAGCAAATCTCTGTATTATAGAGGACAGGAAGCTTCCAATCTGTTTGAACAGCCATGCTCGACTTCTAATTGCCCAAATCTTCGGTAAAATGAGTCGGCATTGTACGCTATTAAAGGCTTTGCTGAAATCAAATGGTACAGCACCTATTGGATTACACTTGTCCGCGGCCTCCACCCGCTTCTCATTCGAGTTAGGAATACCAGCGAAGCAAGAATGTCCGCGGCGAAACTCACGTTACGCTTGATCAACAGATTATTTTCCTCCAGATACTGCTTTAGATGTCTTTTTAATAACGTTTTCAATTATTTTGCAGAATAGGCATGTTAGTCTGACTGAATGGCAATTTTTGGTGTATATCCACGATCCTCCTCAATGGATCGAATTTGGTTTCGAATCTCCAGCATCATTTCATTTCTGTTTACTAAAAAAATAGAATTGAACCTTTGAGTACCCCATTTGCAGCGTAAAATTGGGTTCGGTGTACAGAGAAACCATGTGGGTCGAAATAATTCAAGTGGGCACATGATAGTACGACAAATTGGACAAGGGTTGAGCTCGATCCCTTATCGGTCTTGCCCACTTCGGAATATGAATTTGTCAAAATTCGTTTAAAACTTTCCATCGATAGTGATATCACAACATCAGCGGATAGGGTATCCCATGACTTGCCCACTCAGTCAGAGAAGGCCTTCCGCAAACCCATTCTTGCCTGATGAATGCGCAGCTCTAGTGGATGACCTCGGAGTTTGGCCATGGTAGCAAATTCAAAAAAAGTCCTTAAAAGCCAGGCTTAGGTCCAATCCCTTCATAATGCGTGATTTTTGTAAAAGAACCACGCGCAGTTTCCTATACCTCAAAGGACATGTCAGAAACAACACGAAGGGCTTGTCTTAAATTCTGGAAGGTGACCCTGTTAATCCACTTCAGGATAAGGCGAACCGAGCTAGGAAGAGATCCCAAGAGTGCGTTTACGGAAGCGAGTATGCGGACTCTGTGTACAGTACATTGCAGCAGAGCAACGACTGTGAAACAGGTTGAAGCTAGGGCATCATACACTAATTGGGGTACCATAACTCCAACGTCAGACGGAAATCAAGCTTACGTCGATATTTAATAATGTAATAATTTTTTTATTTAATGCCAGTTTACAGGCATTGCCAGGGAAGCGTTAAATCCGGCCAGCAGTGAAAAAAAAACTCCTGCGGAAAAGGAAAAAATATAGTTGATGGTGGTTTTGTGGATTGGTTGGTTCAGGCGAAAAAAAACTGCTGGCGACAAGCTTTCGAACGTCAAGAAGGGAGAGGTTGCACGGTATCGGATATAATCAGTCGCCAATTTATTTCATAAAGTTAGGGTTAGTCCAACCAGAAGCGCCGAAGAACAGCTGTCGCTGTTGGCCAAAGAAATTGTCCCTGGTGAGATCGGCCATAGTGATCAGAGACCACAAACGCCATCGCTACGGTAGAGTCGATCAGTGGATTCAGCACCCAAAATGTGTAGGAGCTTTTCACAAGCTCTCGACCGTCAAGAAGGGGGGGTGCACGGTACCGGAGATTATCAGATGCCAATTCCTTTCATGAGGTTGGGGATAGTCAAACATAGAGGCGCTCAAGAACAACGGCCGTTGATGGCCTAAAAAATTGTCCCTAGTGAGACCGGCCATAGTGTTCAGAGACCACAAACGCCATCGCTACGGTATAGTCGTTCTGTGGATTCAGCACCCAAAATTTGTGGGAGCTTTTCTGAATGCAAAAATCGAGTAATAATTCTCTTAAATAAAGGATAATTTTGCAGATTTTTCACTTTCATGGGTAGTTTATTCCAAATAGCAATTGCATTTACAGAAAAGAACCGACGATATTTAACAGTACGTGCTAGAGGAAAAAATAAAAAGACCTCACGGTGACTGTTACGTCGTGGGTGGAAATGCTGTCTTAAAGAGGTGAGTGGGTTAAATGTGTGATTGTGTAAGAGTTTAAATAGCAAAAATAGTCCCTTTTGTAATCAACAGAACCACAAAGGATCAAGGCCTGTAAGCCGACAACGTTCTTGGTAAGACAAATGTCGGTGTTCCGGTGTTAAAACTCTCTTGGTAAAAAAAGTGTTGAACGGATTCTATTTTCTTCCGCTCTATAGCAAGCATGAGGTTAAATAAAAACTAACAGTATTCCAGACCAGGTCTAACGTACATGTTGTAGAGGCGCATTCTAATGTCCCTAGCTTTGAAGTTTCAAAGGATAAACCCGGTCGTTCTACGTGCTTTGGAGACAATCAAGGCACAGTGCTTCGAGAGATTGAGACTCTTGGAGTATGATACGCCCAGGTCCTTAATAACCCCAGGCGCATTTATGGCGTGACCTTCAATACTTAGTTGAGGTTGGCGGTCGTCGCCAACCACCATGACTGAGCACTTATGCCAAGAAAGAGAAAGGCGTCATGTGCGGCACCACTGGGCGAAAGCCTGCAGATTGCTCTTTAGGAGCTCAAGACGATGTCATGATCTGCCGGCTTATATCGATATGCAACTTTAAGATTATCGGCATACATGAAAGGCTTACCATTCTGAAATAAATCGGGTACATCATTAACGAAAGGGCAAAATAAAAGCGGGCCGAGTACACTACCCTGAATGACTCCACTCCTCACACGTGTGGGGCTGGAGATGGTATTGGAAATCTTAACTCGTTGTGTACGAGTGCCCAGGTAAGAGGAAATAAAATTAAAAAGTTTGCCACCTATTCCGAAAGAGGACAGTTTCAAGAGAAGAAGAGCGTGGCCAACACGATCAAAATCCTTTGTGAAATTGAAATATACTGCGTAAAGTACAAAACCATTGTCCCTAGATTGGAGAACAAAGTCAAAGAAAGAGAGCTGACAGGTGTCACAAGACCGAGCTTTGAGGAATCCTTGCTGAACAGCACTCAGTAGGTTATTCTCTGTTAAGTGACACACAAGGTAGGATAAGTTTCACTTTCAAGATCGAGATTAAATATCTTGCATAAGAGGGATGGGAAAATCGTATTTGCATCGGTTTTTAAAATACTTACTGGGACACCATCAGGGCCTGGACTATAAGATTGACGAAAACGCCGAATCGCAGCAGTCACATCCCACAGAGTGAAAGTTATAGTTTCTTGAACTGCTTCGGTCAATGCCTGGCTGGTCGGGAGCGGAGTGGTCGAGTCTTCAATAAACGTTTTGGACAGGAAATCATTGAAGCTATCAGCGATTAACTGGGCATCAACTATGGGATTTCCGAGAGCGTGTCGGAGGATGGGATGCTGCGTCTTATTAATTATTACTCCTAGGAGTTGTCACCGTGGTGGGCTATCTTCCTAACGTGGTTGGGTTAACAAAGATGGCCTAATAGTCCAGATCATGGAGTCTTTCCTATAATCAAAACCTGTCGTAACGAGGACTGGGCCTCCCCGACAAAACGATCACTTAATGTCATCTGCGCAAATATGCAAAGCCTGTCTTACAAGCTGGACGAATTTAGAAACTTATATGATGGAGTTAAACAAGATATCATGGCTTTCCCAGAAACCTGTATTTCGGTAGATATCGCTGACTCCGACATATCACTCAGGGGTATGAACACTTCAGAAGAGATAGACGAAGCCCATTAGGAGACGAAGGAGGGGGGGGGTACATATTTTATGTCACTTACAGGATAATCGCTATGGGTTAGGTACATAGTCCGGTATGGGGTGTAGGCTGTTTAGCATCACTATATCAGTTAACTACGTCCGACCACTAACGCGTTCGGTGGCGCACCGTTCGCCAAACCAGATTTTTACCACGATTACGTTCTTTTATCTGAACTTTATAAAGTCAGTGAGAAGAAAGAGGATTTTATCGTCGGAGATTCTAAAGCTCTTCTTATTAGCTGGCAAACGTGGACCACAAGAAACTGTCAGATAACTTTTATTATTAACTATTTCAAAATGCGACGGGCTAACTTCTTTAACAAAACGTCACCTTTGAAACACAGACTAGGGAAGGACAACGGTAAAACTGCCTTGACCATATATTTGTCCGAAAGGAAGAAGATGTGCTCGACATAGAGAATCTACCGCATATGGGGTCAATCAATCACATCACATTGAGCCTCAAGTACTTAACAATTTCTTTATGCATTTTCCAGGAAGGTGAAAGAGAAATACTTTGGGGAGGGACTATCTGTTTATATAAAGAGAAGTGAAAGACACGTTCAGTTCAGTTTAGTTCAGTTCAGTTTATTGAGGGAAATAGGCGTTCTTGGCTGAAATAGTTCGAACACGCCCATAATGGTGGGAAAAAATCAGAAGGAATTACAGGGGGTGAGCTCGACTTCTCATCCCTCTTGTTCATTTCGGAACATAAATATGTCCAGATTCTTTTTAAAAGTTTGTATGGATGGTGACATCACAACATCTGCGGGAAGCTCATTCCATGGTTTGACCACTCGAACCGAGAAGGAGAACTTCCGCACATCTAGCCTTGCTTGTTGGGTGCGCAGTTTGAACGGGTAACTCGTAGGTTGGTAGTGGTAGCAAATTCAATAAAGTCCTCGAAGGCCAGACTGCAATCCAACCCCTTTACAATGCGGAAGGCTTGCAAGAGATCCCCGCGAAGTTGCCTGTAACTCAAAGGAAAGAGGTTCAGATTTACTAGGCGGGTTGCATAAGGAAAGGAGCTTTGACCCCTAACCATTCTCGATGCTCTCCTCTGGACTCGTTCGAGGCAGTTTTGATCCTCGACCGCCCACGGCCTCCAGGCTTCTATGCCGAACTCTTAATGCGGCCGAACGAATGTTCCGAATGTCTTTGAGAAAGCCCCTTCGTCAAAGTCCATAAACGCACGCTTGATGGCGTACAATACAGACATTGCGTTTTCTGCTACCCTCGAACAATGGGCGGATGGTTTAAGAGAACTTGTCGTCAGAAGACCGAGGTCCTTTTGGGCTTCGACCTCTTGTAGGGCCGCACCGCCCAGAAAGTAGTCTCTTGTGCTGGCCGATCTGGCTGTGTTGCCTAGGCGAAGTATGCTACATTTGGTAACGTTGAACCGCAGGAGCCAACGGTTTGACCACTTCTCCAACCGATTCAGGTTTATCTGTAGTCTGTCTTCGTCGGCAGGACCCCGAATAACACTCCATATCTTCATGTCATCGGCGAACATTGCTACTTTGCAGTCCAAAGCTCCTGCGGCATCGTCCACGTAGATAAGGAACAAAATGAGTCCCAGTGCTGAACCCTGGGGGACACCACTCCCGACCGTAGAGGGATTTGATTTTCCCCGACCGATGCACACAGCCTGGTGTCGACCCAAATGGTAGTTCTCGGTCCATTTAAGAAAGTTGTCACCGACTCCTATTTTTTAAGTTTATGTAAGAGCCTTTGGTGTGGCACAGTGTCGAACGCCTTCTGGAAATCGATGAAGGCTATGTGGACCGCGTGCTTCTCGTCGAGAGCTCGGGTCCAGCTCTGGAGAGATTGCAGCAAGCTTGTCGTGCAGGATCTTCCTTTTCGGAATCCATGTTGGCATCTCGATAGCAGGCCGAGAACTTCCAGGAATTGCATCAGCTCACTCTTTATGATCCTTTCCATAACTTTGCAGAGAATGCATGTCAAGCTTATGGGTCTGTAATTTGTCGTCGCTGCCCTGTTACCTCCTTTGTGTAGCGGAGTAATATGCGCCGGCTTTCAATCGATAGGAAGTGTTGCAGTGTCAAATGACGTTTGAAAGAGCATCGACAAAGGCACAGAAAGCTCACTGGCAAGCTCATTGAGAAGCTTGGGTGGAATCTCGTCTGGTCCTGGCGACTTCGATTCGTTCAATGCCTCTAATTCCCTTCGGACAATGCCTTCTGAGAAGAGTATATCACTGACGCTTGGAGTCGGCAGTTCTTCTGTGGAGGGAGGAAGGAACCCTGCCTCGTTGGTGTAGACTGATTGGAAAAACTGTGAAGAATACGCAGCTTTATCTCTACTATTAGCAATCTCAACGCCATCAGTAGTCCTTATTAAGGGAATTTGATGCCTGTTCCCTGTACTTCGTCGGAGGTAACTGTAGAGTAATTTTGAATTCTGCGTTGCTTTTTGTAGCAAGTTCTTCTCGAATTTCCGCCGCGTCTTCATGATCAGGTTCCTCAGTTTGTTCCTCTGTGTCTTGTAGGTGTTGAAATATTCAACTTGCCCGGTGACGCAGTATTTTCTCCACAATTTGTGCTTCCTGTTGATTTCTTTCTTAAGGTTGTTATTTAGCCACTCAGGGCGTTTGTTCAGTCTTACACTAGTCAGTGGGCAGTGGTTGTTGATGAGCTGCAGAAGGACATTCTTGAACAGCTCCCAGTCATCGTTGGCACTTCCCGTAAACAATGAGCCCCATTCAAGTCCGGATAAGTCTGCTCTCATCTGATTGAAATCTCCCCGCCAAACGTTCCGTCTTTTTTGGTCTGGAGTATGTGAAATGGAGAATAACTAATAATCCCACATAAGTGCTACGTGATCACTTCGGCCAAGGGGCGGCGTGGAGATGATCTCGTCTATGCTATCTGGTGTTTTCGTAAAAACCAGATCCAGGCAATTTGCCCTTTGTCCTTCACGTGTTCTCGTTGGGAACATTACATGTTGTGTGAGGGACGCATTTTATGTTTTGTTCAGCAGACGGTAATCGAATGCCGATTTCGGACCTGACGCTTGGAGGGTATTCCAGTTTGTTCCTGGTGCGTTGAAGTCGCCCATGATCATGATGTTAAATCGACTGGAAAATTTCTCCAACTGCTCCAATAGTTGAGTGTCGGCGATTCGGTCTGTCCTAGGTGGTCGGTAGACAGTGAGGACATCGAGACACGGGGAACCGGTAGCCTTGATGGTCAGCCAAATAGCTTCCGTGCCGCACGCAAACTTGGTGGTGTTTTCCGACACTGCCAGGTCCTCATTCACATACACAACTATACCACCACCCTGACGATGCTCCCTGTCCCTTCGATAAATTTGGTATCCAGGCAAGGCTACTTCGCTATCGCTTATATTCCTGGACAGCCAAATCTCGGTTACTGCTAAAACATCTGGAGACAGCTCGACAAGGCAAAGTTTTAGTTCGTCTAGTTTCGATATGAGGCTTCGGGCATTCGTGTACAAGCACCTCAGTTTTGCACCAGCCGAATTTCCCGTTGTATTTGTTAATGTTGTGAGCATTACTGCGTTATCTCGGACGGCAAGTTCTCTGGGCTCTTCCGTTACCTGTTGGGTACCATTTATATCCGTTGTTTCAGTCAGATCACTGGACGTTACGGGCTTACTTGTGTTGCCGCCTTGAGCAGGTGGTTCAACGAAGGTGTATGTGTTAGCTGAGTAGCTGCCGTCGTTCTTAGTATTACAGGCTGGTTCTACTCAAACGGCATATATTTCCGAACTACCTTCCCCTTGAAGATAGCCAGATTGTGTTCGCCACCCTTCAGTCTTGACTTTAACTCCAAGACAAGTTCCCGGCGTTTCAACCGTTCCGCTGGTGAATAGTCTGGTCGAAAAAAACCTGTTTGTGTGTGTTTCTGAGGTCAGTTTTTTTAGAAAGGATCAACTTGATTTGCTCTTTGTTCCCCAGCATAATTTTGAGGGGACGAGGTGGTTGTGCTACTGTCCTGTCTTCACTCCTTTTTCCTATCCGGAATGCTTTCAGAACCTTTATTTCCATGTCTGCCGGCAGTAAATGATTTAGCAGACCATGAAAAGAAGCAAGGTCCTCTGAGACACGGTCTTCAGGTCTGACTGCATTCGATTCCGACAAACCCTGAATAACCAGACACTTTTGGCGAGCATGGTCCTCCTTACTTTGTCTTTCCGGTGAATTCGCTGCATGTGGACGAGGACGATTTACGGAGTCGTCGCTTGGACGCACACATTTGCTGTCTACCGATTGTCCCGAGCAACCCATCAGAGGTGGTTGTGAGTTCAGACTCCTGTCGTGACGTTTCCCTCTCCCCTCTACCCACGGGTTTATGACTTCGCATTCAGATACGTGCTCTGTAGTGCGCTCGGGGTGGTTGCCAGAACAAGAGGGCAACAGTAGACTGGATGACCCAGGTAGATCGTCTCCAGACAGAAGAGAATTCCCGTCACTTACAGCAAGAGGCTTAGGCGATATGGCTTCCGCGCCAGGTAATTTTTCTGTGACATCGCTTAAGACATCTTCCATGGGAACCGAGTCTTCCCTTATCGGCGGCTTCTTTTTCGTTGTCCTGCTATTACCAGCGTCTGCGGTTTTGGCTACTGAGTTGCAATTCGTGTTTGAAGATGCCCCCGAGGAGATTTTTTTCGCGTTTTTTTGTGTTTTGCTCTTCGTTTTTGGGACTCTAACACTGAATATGTTCTGGTCGTCTAGGGTCTGTTTCACAGGCGTCCTTAAATCAGCAAACTCCTTTTCCAGTTGTTCTACTTTTATTTGGATATCTGCGCACCCAGCACAAGGCTCGTCTTCGTACCTAACACTTTTTGCGGTAGTTACGCTTTTTGCACGCTTTGCTGGTCGTTGGCTGGAAGCGCAGGTTGAGCGAGCACAGGTTCTAGATGCGAAGGATATCTCACCAGACTTATCTTCCAACGAAGTGCCGTCGCTGGCCGTACTATTACAGTTAGCTTGCTGAGACTCCATAAACTTGGACATGATATAATAGGTATAATTTCGCTTTCGATGTTATGACGAAAACGTCGGCTTGTATATGACGAATTAAAGTGTGTGTTCAAAACTCAATAAGCGAAAAAAATACTTAAAATCCGATAAATTTTGTGGGTTTAATCAGAAGCGACTTAGCCCCTTGCAGATCTCGTGGGACTTGAATAACTTCCCCCCCCCATAGCGACAATTTTCGCGGTTTTTGATGTCATCTCCCGCATTCCGACCTCATGCGGTCTGTCGACGCTCACGGCGGAACCCTCCGTATTCACTGTCTACTAGTAGTTCGGTCGTACCTCCCTTCCTCACTGCTCGGCTGAGCTCGAAGCGTGCTGTGGCCGATCGCATCTCGGTTCCTCTCGTCTGGCCTCTTTGACGCGGCGTACCAATCCGGCCCAGACGATCTCAATTGTGAATCCCGTATACAATGCCATTTGCAAACCAGTCCTGTCTGACCCACATTCGTACCCAACAAGGCGGACATTTATTGATACCCTGACGATGACCGAAAACCTTCCGTTATATACCGCCATCTACAGGCCAGTCCTGCTGGCTTTTTTTCTGTTATTATTTTTAAAGAGGGGTTTTTTCTCCTGTAAAATTAATCCAATCATTTTTCACTTTTTCTTAGGAGTTTTTTTCACCCCTCAATCTTCATGTTTCTCAATGGACTTCTAATTCAGAAACTATGAATTGCATTTTGTAAAGATTCAGCCTACTTCGTCTAAAACTCGTATGCAAATTTATTTTAACTTGCTTTGATGGGACCCCGACGGGTCTTTAATAAAAATTATCTATCTATCTATCTATCTATAACTGCAGACCTTGAAGGATTTGATGGGTTTCCTAGGCTGTATATCCGCGATTCGGTTGCGTAGCCAGTTCCCTTGTCAAATGGGCCGCGCTGATAAACAAATTGCACTTAATCCAGGTTCCTGGCGAATTTCGATGCGTAAAAAATATTCCAAAAATGCACAAAGCAATTCTGTACTTACGGTTCCAGTATCAATGTCAGAGACGGTAACTGTGAAATAGTAACCAAGTCGAAATAGTCCCAGATGGAGCGCAGAATAATTCCGTCGTGCTCAGTTGGGCTCAGTTGGGCGACAGAATGGAAATAAAACTGTATAGTGGAATAGATGACCATTGGATAACTTTCATATCGTTACCGACATGCACTGCTGACCTCAACTGTCCTTTCAGAGGAAAGAGAATCTGAAGTTGAAGATCTCTTTCAAAAAACCGCTTATGTGGCGCTGCAGACCAGCCGGCTCTGAAGACTACTTACGGTAACTTAAGTGGAAACGGGACATTTGTTGAAGTGAGGCCAATAAGCTTAGAAGGAAGTTCAAATTGAAAATTTTGTAAAATTCGCCGGTACATCCCGAAATCCTATATGGCTACATACGAAATATTAAAAGAAATCAGGACATGATCCCTACCCTTAGGTCTGTAGGCATAGCACTGGAGACCGACGAACAGGTTAAAGCTTATCACTCTTATAATTTATTTCATTCCGTTTCCATCCGAGAGCTTTATTCTTTTTCTGCTCTTTCACTTGTTCGTCAATCAGTGTCTCCTACCTCCTCATCCCCCCTCCTCCTGCCCCTCCTCCTCCTCCTCCTCCTCCTCCCCCTCTTCCTCCGCCGCCACCACCACCACCACAACCATTTCTTTCCTTCTCCTTACCCTCCATAGAGGAACTGCACTTTTCGTCGGGGCTGAAGGACTCCTACTGGAGCCTGCCGAGTCGCCTTGTTCAAGTCGAATTCCTCCATTAGGACTTAGAGAACTTGCTAATGAATCGCATAAATCACCGTCTATCATTATTTAGAAAACCTTTAAAGAAGGTGAACTGTCGAATAATGGAAGTGTGGATTTATCATCCCTATCTATAAAGAAGTTTCGCGACTTGCCTGAAAAAATTGTCTGCCTGTCAACCTAACGTGCATTGCGTGTAAAATAATGGATCGTATTATCAAAAGATATTTAATAGGGTATCTGGAAGAAAACAAAATTTGTGTAATGCCAAATGTGACTTTTTTCGGGGACGCCCTTGCATCAACAGCGTTCTTTTGTCGCAAGAGAAATGGACAAAGGTCACACATACGGGTTGTCCAGTAGATGTCATTGTTATGACCCGGCCTGGTACTCGGAACTCACGCGCAGCGTATACTCACTCGACTGTTGTACCCAATACCAACGCAACAGAGATGGATAACACGACCGGCTGCGAAAATGTATTAGCTGTCTCTTGATTTTGGGAGTGTGGGCTCTCCCAACACCTCCCTCCAAGTAGGTCATCACCGCTTCTGGCGTAAATGATCTGCATCAACAGTGTTGATCGGCGCACGCGGTTTTTCCGGCGTCTTATTTGCGGTTGTTTGCCTGGAGACGCGAGAGCAGCGACTGATACCGAAAGCGGCATACCAAAGGGAGGTGCAGCAGTGGGTTCGGAAATCGGCCGACCTGTTGGAAGGGCGAAAGTATCCTGTGAGATGTCGAGATGGAGTTACGGTGTTGATTGGGGCCCTCTCACGTTACCGCAATGCCGCCGTCGGATCTGGTTGTGCTGACGGACTCAGACGACATCACCAACGTCGAACTCAAATAGCATACTACCTTCGTGCCCTGCTGCGGTCGCTCCAGCCGGGTCTGGAAAACTAGTCTAATAATCATGGACGAATACAGGTGTTCCAACGGTGAGCTTCCTTCGAGAAGCAGGTGGAGTTGTTTGCATGGACTGCACACCTGCAGAAACAAGTGCAGGAGACGTTGTACGCAGTTTTCGACCTATCAAAGTCTCCGCAGGAGAAACGCCGCCCGGGAACGCGGACTTCGGAGCTGTCCCCTATGAAAACAGAGACGTCTGGACCGTCTCATCCCTGGTTTTCTCCCGACGAGCTTTCGAGAGAGCTCTCCTTTGAATGGAATCCAAACTTGTACCCCCTAGCTTAAAAAGACTACAAGTCGCTGGATAGCGTTCAGAGGAGAACGACCAAAATTTCGAACCCCCTCAGGACTTAATCTAACAGATGTGGACTTGATAAGCTTAAACTATTTCCTCGTGAGTACAGGCGGGTCCAAAGAGATCTCATACAGACGTACCAGATTGTAAACTATGTCCTGCACTTCCATGATTTCCTCGTCTTGGTCACAATAACTAGCCCGCGTGGGAACTCCCTCAAACTTCGAGGACTTCGATCCCACCTGGATGTTTTCAGATACTCGTTTTTACAGCGAGTCGTCGGTGCCTGGAGAGGACTTCCTGGAGAAGTGATAATGGCGGACAAAACAGAGACATTTAAACAAGGACTGAATGTATATTTGCCCTAAAGACATCGCCTAACTGGGCAGAACAGCTTTGCGTACACCACCCTCTAATGCGGATGATCATTATTTCATTTTATCGTTACCATGCACCGTTGAGTGTTTCCGGGTTTCCGCCCCGCAATTTCGGGATCGATATTCGGTTAGTTTACCAGGGATAGGGGAAATGTTATGACCCGCCTGGTACGTAAAATCCTGTGGAGCGTATGCGCACTCGACCCTTGTCCCCAATACCAACGCGGCAGAGAAGGAGAACGCGACCGGCCACGAAACTGTGTATTAGGAAAATGCAAGTCAAAATGAACTGGAAGTAACGCGTATTTATAACGCCTTACGGTGCTTCGCCGGCGTTCGGCCCAATGCCCTTCGGGAAGAACATTCGAGACGAGCCGGTCGATAATTCGAATATGCTGATTGATCAGGCCCGCGAGGAAAAGCCAATGGAGAGGCGCCACGATTAAGATGACAGCGCAGTAGACAAAACGCACGTGGCCTCCCGTGATTGGCTGGCTCTTGTTTTTGGGAGTGTAGGCACTCCCAACACCTCCCCTCCAAGTAGGTCAGTACCGGTTCTGGCGTGGGTTGACCTGCATCAGACGTGTTGATCGGCGCACGTGGTTGGTCCGGCGTCTTAGTCGTGGTTTAATGCCTGGAGATACGGGAGCGGTAACTGATACCGAAGATGGTATATCCAAAGGGGGCGCAGAAGTGGATTCGGGAGCCGACTGATCTGCCGGAATGGCGAAGGTATCCAGTAGGATGTCGAGAGAGTGTGACGGCGCCGAATCGAGCCCAGTTGTGTTACTGCAATGTCGCCGTCGGATCTGGTTGTGGTGGCGAACCCAGATGTCATCACCAACGTCGACGTCAAACAACATACTGCCTCTGTGCGATACTACGGTTGCTTCAATCCAGTCTGGGAACCCCGCTCGATAATCACGAACGAAGACAGGTGTTCCGATGGAGAGCATGCTGCGAGAAACTGGAGAAGTCTGCTCGGGCTGCGCACCGGTAGGGACGAGGGCATGAAACGTTGTACGCAGTTTTCGGCCCATCAACGCTTCAGCAGGAGAAACGCCACCAGGGGACGCCGGGTTCGGTGTCGTCCTGTAGGAAAACAGGAACGCCTGGACTATCTCGTCCGTGGTCCCCTCCCCACGAGCTTTCAAGAGGGCTCTCTTAAACGTGTCGACAAAACGCTCCGCCTGACCGTTAGACTGAGGATGGTAGGGCGGGGAGCGAAGATGCTGGATGTTGTGCTGGCGGCAGAAATCTTCAAACGTCGACGAGATAAACTGAGAACCATTATCTGAAACCAGGACTTCTGGTAAGCCATGCTGGCTAAAGATGCGTCGTAGGAAGGCGATAGTGGCAGATGCGGTTGCTGGATTCAGCGGAGCAATCTCGGCCATTTCGAGTAGGCGTCAACCAAGATTAGGTAGGAGACTCCGTTAAGTGGGCCAGCGAAGTCGATATGCACGCGTGACCAAGGCCTCTCCGGTGGTTGCCAGGGTATTGGGGGTTGACAAGGCGGTATCTTGGCAGCTTGCTGACATCGAGAACAGCGTCGAACCAGGTCGTCGATGTCGCCGTTGATACCCGGTTAGTAGGCAAAACTACGAGCAATAGACTTCATTCGGCTGGCACCAGGATGAGCCGCATGGAACTGGCGTAGTACAGTGAGTCGGAGGGAAGATGGGATCACCACACGGTCTGCAAACATGAGGCAGGAGTCAACCACAGATAGCGATGCTCGGCGGAGGAAGAGCTGGCGAAGATCGCCAGCGAGAGCAGTGGTTGGCCAGCAGGTCTGCACGTAGGTGATGGCCTGGCGGAGGACAGGATCCTGTTCAGTAGCACGTCGGATGTCCGCGGCAGTGACAGGAATACCTCGTATGGCGTCTGATAGCTGACGGCGCACACCGTCCTCAATCGAAATAGCTGCAATCACGGTATCTTCCCCGGTTCCTGCTGATTGCTGATGAGGCGAGAAAGGGCGTCAGCCTGACCAAAGTCTGTAGTACGACAGTAGCGAATGTCGAAATCGTAGCCAAGAAGGATGGTTGCCCATCGCTGAAGTCGGCTGGCTGAGTAGACGGGAATGCCCTTCTTCGAACCGAAGATTGACAGCAATTATTTGTGATCCGTCAACAACGTGAAGTGGCGACCGTACAACAGTTTGTGAAATTTCTTGACGGCAAACACGAGGGCTAAAGCCTCTTTCTCTATTTGCCCATAGTTCTTCTCCGCAGGGGTTAGCGTGCGAGATGCATGCATGATCGCCTTTTCAGACCCATCAGGAAAAGTATGTGAGATGACGGCACCAACTCCGTGGTTGGAAGCATCTGCAGCAACAACGATCGGCAGCGTCGGGTCGTAGTGCGTGAGCAGCAGATCTGAACTCAGCATCGACTTTAGCTGGGCGAAGGCCTTTTCACAGTCGGGGGACCAGCACCAAGGAGCATCCTTCTGCAACAAACGGTTGAGCGGGGCCCGTACGTCATGCGGCGATGGTAGGAAGGCGCTATAGTAGCTGATCAGGCCAAGGAACGAACGAAGTTGCGATACATTCTTGGGGGCAGGCATTCGTTGGATGGCCCGAATGTTTTCAGGATCTGCATGGCGACCATTGGCGTCAAAAACGAATCCAAGGTACTTGATGGAGTCGAGGAAGAATTGGCACTTCTCGGCCCGTAGGCGAAAGCCATACTCCTGCACGCGTTCGAGTACTGCGCACACTCGGTCTTGCAGCTCGGCAGGGGAGCGACCCACGATGATGATGTCGTCCAGGTACCCAGCTGTGCCAGGGATGTCGGAGAGCATTGCGTTCATCGTTTGTTGAAATAGGGCCGGGGCGGTCTTGACACCAAAGGGCAGCCTGGTGCATTGGAACAGACCGCGGTGGGTATTGATGGTCAACAATTCGCGCGACTCTGGGGCGACCGCGATCTGCAGATACGCATCAGCAAGATCCAACTTGGCAAAACAAGTGCCACCATTCAGCAGGGTGAAAAGATCTGCCGGAACCGGTAATGGATAGCAGTTCGGCGTCAGCGCGGCATTGAGACCGGTGGAGAAGTCAGCACAAATGCGAATCGAGCCATTGGGCTTCTTAACCACAACGATTGGAGCGGCCCAGGTGGAGTAGGATACAGGAACCAGAACTCCCAATTCCTCTAGACGCTTCAGTTCAGCCTCGACAAGTGGTAGGGCTGCATATGGGACTGGTCGCTTTGGACCGAAGACTGGTTAACTTCCAGGAGACAGATGTAGCACGGCTTGAGTGTATGTGCAACGACCCAGGCCGTCTTGGAACACTGGAGCAAAGCGTTGGAGAATGTCATTGGCTTGGTCTGCAAGCACAGCGGGAATCTGCACCTGACTGCAAACAACGCGGAGCGGCATATCGGCCAACCCAAGTTGTTCAATCCAGTCGAGACCAAGTAGGTTTAGATCAGACTTGGTGATGTAGCAGATCGCAGTGATGCTGGTACCGCGGAACGACACACAGCATTGCAGCTGCCCAATTAGCTGTACGAGACCACCGCACGCGCTTGTGGCGGACTGGGAAGTCGGTTGCATCGTGGGACTGCCAAGGGACTGCCAGAGTCTCTCAGAGATGATGATGATATCTGAGGCAGTGTCCAACTGTAGACGAATTGCATGGCCATTGAGCAAGACATCAACAAATTTTCTACGACCAGACGCATTGAGCTGGAAAGCGGCCAAGAGACTCAGAGAATTACCAACGGACTGGAGTTTGGACTTGCGTTTTGGCCGGAAACGATGCCTGAAATTAGGAGTGGCGGGGGCTGGCTTGCCTCCAGAAGCTGGTACTGATTTGAAGAACCCATCACGGTGTCCCACCTCATTACAGCTTTGGCAGCGATGCAGGCGGAAAGTGCAATCCCGGTGGAAATGCCACGCGCCACAGTGCTGACAAGGAGATGGCGGAGATCTCGACTTGGACACTTGCTTGGGCCGTGTAACAGGATGGGATTTGGTCGATGTGACCGTATGGACTGAGAAAGATGAGGCCGGGTTCTGAATCATTGCAGAGTCGTGCTTGAGATTGATCAGCGTTTGGCACTCTGCTGCCAGCTCTTGGAGAGTGGTGGAGTTGTTCTGCTGCCCTTTGGACAGGAGACGTGTCCGGATATCAGCATCCTTGGGGGACTGGAGGCCGCAGAAAAATATAAGGCATTTAAACTGGTCTTCAGTGAGAGAACCGAGTTGGAAACGCCCACACTCACGATTAACAATGCCCGCATATGTGATGAAATCATCGGAATCTCGTTTGCACAGTTGCAGACACTGAAATCGAGTGTTGAAGAGGGATGATTGCTCACCAAACATCTGCGACAACGTCTCAACCGGGGGTTCTTGGGGAGGATGAAGTTTGCATAACGCTCGTATTCAGCCGGACCCAGTTTGCGAAGTAGGAGTCGAACCTTCCATGCATCGTCCTGGGCAGCCAGATCGACAGAGAACAAGTCCTCGTATCGTTTGTACCAGGACTCAAAGGTGATATGGGCCTGCGGGTCATACAGGAATTCAGTGATGCTGTCGGCAACGTGATCAACAGATTGTGAACCACCAGCCGCGCTTGATTTGCCCATGGATGAATTGGATGGCTTGACGGTCAGAGCCTCCATCAGCTTCAGTTGCTGCTGCTGCAACATCTGTTTCAAGTCTGCGTACTCGTCAGCCATTGTAGTTGAAAAACTGCGTCGCCAATTTGTTATGACCCGCCTGGTACGTAAAATCCTGTGGAGCGTATGCGCACTCGACCCTTGTCCCCAATACCAACGCGGCAGAGAAGGAGAACGCGACCGGCCACGAAACTGTGTATTAGGAAAATGCAAGTCAAAATGAACTGGAAGTAACGCGTATTTATAACGCCTTACGGTGCTTCGCCGGCGTTCGGCCCAATGCCCTTCGGGAAGAACATTCGAGACGAGCCGGTCGATAATTCGAATATGCTGATTGATCAGGCCCGCGAGGAAAAGCCAATGGAGAGGCGCCACGATTAAGATGACAGCGCAGTAGACAAAACGCACGTGGCCTCCCGTGATTGGCTGGCTCTTGTTTTTGGGAGTGTAGGCACTCCCAACAGGAAACAAATCCAAACTTCCTTACACTTGTATAACGCAGGCATATCCGACCGTCTAGCATTAACAACGGGTTGAAAATTACCGCCGATGTGTTCTGAACTGGATTTGCTTAAACGATGCTTAGGTGCATAGGCTCTCAGCTTTCAACGGTCGGTCATATTCGTTGTTAGCTTTTCTTCCAATGAAGTTTGATTGTCTAGAATCACAGACAGATCAGATGACTAAATTTCTGCGAGGAATTAGAGGTGCAAGGGTATAGACTGATAAAGACAGATAGACTGTGCAGAATGCGAATCGCAGAATGCAGAGAGTAATCAAGAGGAACAAGCTGACTAAAACCAAAAGGGAAACTGCAACTGATAGATCTAACAAAGCAAATGTATGTTAATGAAATGTTATTTAAAAAGAATGAAAGCTGAAAAAGTCATCCGGTTTTTTTTTGAAAAATCCTTTTTGAGGCTATCCTTTACCCATCTTCGAACTTGAAACCAATTCCCCAGTTCGTCCACTTTTTGAACATGCTTCATCTATTTGTAAAATGGACTTCGGCAATCGTTTGGACGAGGATGCTCAGCCAAAATTGTGACCGGCTTTGTGCACAGGAGAGACCGTTTAATTTGAATTATTTGGTCGCTCTACTTTACCTACTCGGAAAGCCTTTTGTACGGAAAATATTGATTTAATCACGAAAGAGGTCTAGGTCGTGCGCTACCCGTTCCTGTAGAATGCCTGCTGCCGACTGCGGAACATTCTTTACAATGGTATTTCGCCTACGATTCATTAGTGAGTTCTTTGTTCTCTCATCTGTGTCATCACGGTTAATTGCCACTGTCTTGCTTCCCATGGCTGATATAATGACGGCATATGGACAAGTTGTATCTGAGCTGTAAGTTGTGGAGCGTAGATTTATGTGAAGTGGTCGCTTCCGCCGAAAAACTTGCAAGATTTTTGCTTTCCTTTAATGTGTCGTACACAATTCTGCATACCAATTTGCCTATATGCGTTTGGTCGGGCGGCTGATCCGACCGGGAAATATTATTAAGTAGAGTGACAGTGCCGCCTTGTAGGATTAATAACGTGTCCGTCTTGTAGTTTCTCTTAGGTCACTTGGGATTCCTCCCGGTTTTCATGCATCCAGTATTCAGTTATTCGGTGTATTTAGTAGCCGTGGTGGATAGCGACCCTCGACATACGTGCAACCAACTTGAGGGACATGCCCGGTTTTCCCATCAATACTTGCTATAAGCCAAAATGAGCATAATTTGTGGCACCCGATTTATGGTCGAAAAGGAACATTTATCAGCGCTCCTAGCGCATGTTGATGCTTAATTCCCAGAATTTATATGCCTGTGACCAAAGCGGAAATTCACTTCCTCTGGAGAAAAACTTCCTGTGGTAACGGGCAAACTGAAATCCAGTGCACTCTAGTTTTCTGCGATCCACACTGTTAAATTTATTGGAGTATCTTGTAACGATCAAAGGCGAGAAATGCGAAGAAAGATTTTGAGCTACATGATTAAATTCTACTTTCCGTCTCTCGTGAACGACCAAGAGCAACTCAAGGCATTGTAACAGAACAAAAAACCAACTGCTACCCTTTAGTGCGCTTAAATCTTTCAGAGTCTTTGTCAAATGCCGCGACCTGGCTTCCATAATTAACACAGTTGTCGCTGCAACAGAAATTGGCGGTAATTTACGACAAAAGCAGACGAATGTTGAAAGCAGGAGCATTCGAGTGCCTGGAATTCCATTACCTTCGGTTTTTATCAATGGATTTTTGGGTCGTTGGTAAATTCACATAAAATTCAGCAAAGCTAACGCATATCTCGAATATTTGTTTTACTTCCCATTTATCGTGGCATTAGCTTGGATTTGGTGTATGCCGCGATATTGCCGAAGATGTCAGTTTCTGAGTCTCCTGTCCCGTGTGAAGACTCACATGTTTCCACTGACGTCAATAACATAAAAGAATGTAAGAATTTATGCTTGTTTTGTCCCTTGATTGAGTGTTGTCAACCCTCCTATATATCAATCGTGTGCAGACGACTTACTAAAATGGAAATATCAGGTTTCTGGCCGCAGATGATCTCCCATGTCTGATTCATTATCACAATCCGAAATCTAAAACATCGCATTGCCGAGTACTTGCCATGTAACGCCCGAATTACGAACGCTACTTGTCCAAGACCCGCCCAGTCACGATGTCCCCTCCTTTTCTTAGAAAGAATTAGCTGTGTTTTTTAAAAAAATCTGTTTGCTTCGTGAAAGTAACGGCTTATAAGCAGAGATGTCGTTTTCGCATGCAATCACTGGCACGGGCTTTAAATTGCACGTAGACATCCGCCACAGTTGTGGTACTGTGTCAAACATTTTTTAAATTTATCTTGGAATACCCCTGAACGGAATCCAGAATGCACCTATGGCCACATGAAGGCCTTAATCATTTTTTGATTTTTGCGACTGATTGTCTCCTATATAGGCTGGCAATTTACCCGGTCCAGAATAAACGCTCCTGAGTTCAATTCCCCTAGACGAAAATGCGGCTTTCTCTCGGAAAAAAACCTAATGAATGTCAATGATCGTGATCGTTGTAGCGGACTGTCTGTCGCTTGCAGAGGCCTTACACACTTAATTTACGTATGACCAGGCTACGTTCGGTCCTAACGCGTAGTCATAAATAATTTTTTTGAGATTACCAGTCGTTATTTACCTGAAGCGTATTTTTGATTTGATTCTTTTCTGTTGCTAGACTAAACGCCCTCCGCTCCTTGCACATCCTATAAATTTCGGTCTGTCGTGCTCTTTTCAGTGCGTGCCAAACCCTTACCACATGTGGTTGAGCACCATTACCCGCCTTCTTCGTCCCCAGCCGTCGTTTGACCCACTGTCCATAAATTATAATTACCGGCGGCTAGTATCTAATTCCAAGTAATGGGGAGGGGGAGTGGAGCATTGCGTTGGTTGATTTATTGTAAATCCGCGAATCATTACTAGAGTAACCCGCGACTCGTGCCTGCAGGGCTTGAGTCACTGAATATGAGGCTGCACAGCGACATTTCTATCTTCCCGCGTGCACTTTACTCTCTCTGACGATTGCGGGAGCTGCGAGTCCAGCAAGACGGGCATACAAAGCATTTCTGCTGTGATCGAACCTCTCCTTCCATGTGCGACAAGGGAGCCTTAACCACAACGTCATTGTGACCACAATTCGTCCTTCTTCTTCTTCTTCTTCTTCTTCTTCTTCTTCTTCTTCTTCTTCTTCTTCTTCTTCTTCTTCTTCTTTCTTCTTCTTTCTTCTTCTTCTTCTTCTTTCTTTCTTCTTCTTCTTCTTCTTCTTCTTCTTCTTCTTCTTCTTTCTTCTTCTTTCTTCTTCTTCTTTCTTCTTCTTCTTTCTTCTTTCTTCTTTCTTCTTTCTTCTTCCTCTTCTTTCTTCTTTCTTCTTCTTTCTTCTTCTTTCTTCTTTCTTCTTCTTCTTTCTTCTTTCTTCTTCTTTCTTCTTCTTCTTCTTCTTCTTCTTCTTCTTCTTCTTTCTTCTTCGTTCTTCTTTCTTCTTCTTTCTTCTTCTGTCTTCTTCTCGTGGTGACGGGATGCCAAAATGTAGTGGTCAGGAGAGCTGTAGATTCGATTTAAATTAGGCTTATCCCTATTTTTAGCTGCCATTTTCCCATCCTGAAAAGCCAAATATAGCGGTCGCAGTACATTACGTTTTCAGTAAATATTGAGTAACCGACGCTATTTTGAGCCTTTCTAAATCTATCGCCTCTGAAATCACCGGGGTAGTCATCACATCCCGTGGATCTACTCTGTTTCCCTCTTTATTCGAGAGGCCACATCGCTAACATCCAGTTTATCTTGATGGCATCTCCAGCCTTAACTCATCTTCGAACTGGCTACCCATTGCGTTCAACAAGGTGGATTATCTTCTTTGCTGATTATTTCACTTTCACTGAGCACAAATTCACTGATTCAACGAACCATGGGATACTGAGGGTGGTATTAGATGATGGAAAACTCGCCAGTAAGTTCTCCTGCCTCCAGACAGAATTGGGGAGTGTTATTTGTCGAGTGTCCCCAGTTTTAAGCATTCGTGACTTTCGCCAGAGGGACCTTCTTCGCAAGCCGCCATCTGAACTTCTTTTGCCATCTCGACCCACAGTCATTTCGCATCATATTATTCGGAATTTCCTGTATTCCTCTTCATATAGACGTTGATGACTAAGTTTACTTAGCGACCAACTTTTAACTGATCTTCGTTGTAAGACATTCTCAAACTAATTTGACATTTGACCATATCTCTGCTTTCTGCTAGTCGTTAATACATCCTACAGAATAGGCCAAATAAAACGCTCTTGTTCTAGCACCCGGACAGGGTTGATGTTGGTGCGCTTTAGCGTGTTCACATAAATCTTTAGTATCTACAGCACTAACTATAATTTCCTGACCATATTACTTCTGACTACCTCCCATATTCCCCACGTTTTAATTGACCTCTTTACCACATAAATGTACTGGTCTGGTGAGATTCTATAAGAAACGAACGTCTTCTGGAACACTTAAATGTTGAGTTATGCTATTACGATCCACCTGGTCCTTCGCTTGCAAGTCTTCAAACTCTTCTTCTGGTTTTGTAGTTTCGAATGATCTTAAATCTATGAAAAATGGGTCCCTAGAACTTCCAACCAAGGTTGAAAATTTCAAGGCCTGGAGTTCGACTGCCCTGAAATGCACAAAACAGGTGATTGAGGAAAAGCTGGGCACCACGACGCCTACTCGCGATCCTGAAATCGAGGCCAAAGTTGGAGTTTTGAAGTAAGTCGGGCATTAACTATTTTACCCTTATACTGTAACGCATCTGTAACTTCATCAGAAGCTGACATGCCGCCCTGGTAGCACGGATTAGTTTCGTCAACCAGTATACTTCATCAGGATTGTGACGTGACGTAGGCGTCAGCAGCGCCCACAGTTTCCCTTAATTCGACCTTTTAGGGGCTTGAATTCTCGATAATGTCGTGTGTGTTTGAAGGCAGAACTTTTCTGCCTGTGAAGACTCGCATCTCGGCTGCATTACTGCGTTTACGCTTAGTTCGTTGGACTGTTAATCGTGGTTGACAAGCCAATGGTTTCTATGGCGTTAATTATACAGAGCCCCAGTCCGCGGGGCTGGATAATTCATTAGCTTTATCGTTACCGAATCGCAATAACCTGTGTTGGGGGATTCCACAGGCATCTACTTCCTTTTTTCTCGTTGAACCTGCAAAAGTTGTGACCTTATGTCCATTACACGCATTGCTGGTTCTTGTCTAAATCACACCGACAAAATCTGCATAACGCTGGATTTTTTAAGGAGATGTAATTTTATTTTTCGGTTGTTGGGAGCATGATTTTATGTTAACCTTCGAAGCGGTATTCCAGAAAACTACCCAAGAGTGATGTTAAGCAGTCCGTCCTGATGATATTATGGAATTCAGGGCGTACTCGTTTTACCTTGGATCTCCTGTCGCGCGTTGGCCATGTTGATTAGGCATGGCTGGCTGTTGACGGTAAATAAGTTCGAAATGGGAGGTCTAGCCCCCGATGCTTGTTTCAGTTGTACTTATCGACTTGAAAGACCGTCATGGCATACTAGTCATTGACAATGACGTGCAGATCCGCCACAGTGACAGAAATGGTTCGGATGCGCAACGGCCAAACAAAGTGGCAGAAATCAGTGGTTTGCCTCTGTTTTAGTTTTTTTTTCAACTGGGTGAATATGCTCTCCAAAAAGCCGCGTTCCTCTGTTCCTTAACCGTATAGCATCATGTTCTCTGGGTGGCTTTTGGCTCAGTGGATTTCCATAGACAGTTTTCCTATTTCCCTCAAGTTGGGCTGGCTTTCAAAACCCTGGTGCAGGCAATCTAGCCTCCCGCAGATGTGTTCAACTCTGTCTTACTGGTCATTGACATCAACTGACGGTCAAAAGTCTTCCCAATGCTCCTTCGTTCGTAATGTTCACAGCCGCTCATCATCATTACCATTTCGAGGTTTGTGTTTTGGTCCACGAGGTTAAGTCCCTGTTTCAACGGAGTGGAGTTGCAAGTCAGGCTTGCGACTTTCGTATGGCAACGACGTCTTAATGAGGGACGTTGACCTCTTGCGCTCTGTCCTTTTACGAATTTGCGTTATTTTCTTTAGTTCCTCAACTTCTTACAAATCAGTCAGGCCGCCGCATGGATCCACGACAGAAAATTGTCTGTTATAGTTGTGACGTTGTGTGAGTATTACAAGTGTAGTCAGTGCAAAAACAAGGGAAGTACCGAAGTTTGGGTAGTTGGCATAAGCGGTCACAAAATCGTTGTGAGAGCGAGACTACAGTCGTTGTCCCTCGGCTCTGATTAGATGTTCGATTCAGAGGCATATGAGCCAGCATGAGTACCTCACCCCTGTCATTCTTGACTCGGACGGAATCCCCCGTCCTCCCCGTCCGCTCTTAACGGCCTCTTCATATGGCCTTTATGGAATTCCTTCACTCCGTTCAAATCCGAGTTTAATTAAGTCTGGTCCATATGCATGTACGGTCCAGTGCCTGTGTGATACCTGTGGACACAGCTTCCATCTCGTCAGTCACTGCATCCACACCCATTTTCACTCATCTTGCCTTTCAAAGACGTTGTGTGAGAAGAGTCTGTGCAAGTTATCAGTGCACCACCGAGATAGCGGCGGTGGTGGCGCTCGCCACTTGCGATTGACAGGCTAGCATAATTTGGCTGCTCCAGTGCAGTTAAGTGGGCTTAAAGAGCATGAATACCCCCGTGTATGCAAATCACAACGAATCAGGCCTCTAGTTTGGCAACACGCCTACGTTCGGGAAAGACCGCGTAAAACTATGCGAGCTTTTAAAACGATGAGACGTCACAAAGAGTGATATTTCGAGATGATTTATGCTCCTGAATCGATTTTCTGCCCGACACGACTCCCAACTATCAGCACGGGGGAACTCGACTTCCTCTAACACAACTCCGTAATACGACGCGAATTGTAGTTTGACCCATTACCTCACCATCTGCCTTTCGGCGTCGCCTTGAGCCAACAGTGCTCGACGCGACGGGCGACCGTCAGACGTCGGTAATGTGTGATCTAACGTGTGAGGGACATCAACTGACCTCCTCCTGTCTGCTTACAACGGTTGTCTGTGGAACAACTGGCCTCACATCTCTCCTTCGTTTATCTCATAACTTCGCCTCGATCCTGCAATGCTTTCCGCACTATCTTTCTTTAAACACCTGCATCGTACACTGCGGTTTAAAAAATATCACCTAACGCGGTAGACACGCATCAGGCATTCGCAGCGTTGAAGGACAATGAAATGATATTTATGGCTAACTATAATTGCCTATAGTGTTTCGTTGCAGAACAGGTGGTGACAGGCTTCTCCACTTTGTCAGTGACCACGCCACTTAAGTCGTGAAGTGCCGCTAAAAACGCCATTGATGGCTCCTGCTTATCAGACGTCTACTTTCCGATCTGCACAAGAGTACTTTTCGGTGTTAAGTGGTGTACTTTGTGGTATGGCAAAAAGTTCAGACATTAGTGCAGACTGTGTGAGCCGCCTCTATCACAGTAGGCGATAGTTCCTCCGCCGGAGGTCACGAATTTTCTGGCAAATGGTTTAACCTACGCGCGATCTGGATTCTAGTGGGGCAGACATGCGCTGTATCGGTCTTATCTTCGCCCTCCTGGCCCACTTTGTTCCACATGGCAAAAGGGACTTCCATACGGCTCGAGATGTCCCTGGGTGCCGTGGTGGATCGGGCATTCGCTGCCGTCCCATGTGTCACACGTCTGCTCGCCTGTCGACCAACACAGATCAGATCTCATTCGCTTAAACATCCTATCAATAAGAGTCGCCATAAGGCCACAGTTCTAACGGTCAGACTTTCAGCTTATGAGATTGCGTTATCGCATCGAGCCACGTCCTTCATAGGGGCGCGATAATAAAGAAATGCCTCCCTTAATCGGTCCCGCTCACCGTGCTTTGTCAAACCGACTGGAAACGCCCTTATGCGCAGTGACCGACCCGGCGTTCACCGTCGTTTTCCGTGCTGGACCCTTAGCTGATGCGTAGCAGACTGCACCGGATCAGCGTTGCATAAGAACCATCCTTCCAATGAAGTATACTGACACTACCCCGGAGGAATCAGCCGGAGCTCACCATGGTAGTTCGTCCATCGCATCCGACGGTGCCCACCGTGTGCTCCACAAGACGAGGGAGACACAGCGACTTGCGCGTGAATTAGTTTATAGTGGGAGTATACTTGCGCAGTATCTGCCGCACTCCTTCCGACCTGCACCCGGTGTCAAGACAGAGTTAAGAAGGCCGGAGGCAGGGAGGACGCAAGTGAGTGGCGCGGCTGAACCTGTACCCTGGCGCTCCACTCTACATCCCCTGGCCCACAGCAAACACTTGACCAGGATTTTGATCAATAAGAACAACAGAAAAGACGCTGATGACTGGGCAGCCATGCACATGACCTGCCTACTCAGCGGGAGTGCAAGCGCGTCTACCGCCAGAGAACCAGGTACCTGAGAACTGCCAGCGCAGACCAGACTGCAAGGGCCATGGTTTGCTGGTCATGGTATAGCATAGCAGCGCAGCAGAGCGAAGGCATTTCAAGCCATCCAAGAAAGAAATCCGAGGGGTTTGGGCACTTTCTTCGTCATCGCCGCTACCGCCCCTTTATCCAGTCCCGCCACTCACCTGCAGAAATGGAGGGGGAGGTCAGCTCAAAACCCGGCACAGTCTGTCAAGATATGGAGATGATTGCCAGTCCTCCGGTAATCGGCATCCGTCGCTGGATAAGAGAGTGAGCCTCGGTTTCCGGATCCGCTGACGCAGATCGTCATGCATATAAGGTACGATCCGCGATATATTAGAGGCTTGTCAGATCAGACAGGGTTACAGCCCCACTGACTACAAGTGCTGTGTTAGTGGTGGTCGTCATTTTAGTCGATTACCAAACTATCCCAGTTTCCCATATGCAGCTGTGGTTCCGTTGCATTGTATTGCATTTTTTTCGGTGTTAAAAAATACGCGGCAAAAACTGGCCGCCTACTCACCTCAGACGCCTGCGGTCATGTTTTCGTGAGCCCTTTCTTTTTTACAAATTGACGTGGTTGATTCTTTTCTGTAGACTAAAAATGACTCGCAGTCGTTACCACTATGAGCTTTTGCACTGTAGGTACGTGTTTCGTTACCCAATCACTTCGGCCTCTCTGTCTGAAGCACAATTCCTGTGGTGTCTCCGTGCGATTAGCAGACATACCTGACCATTATGTTGTTATTCGAAGCACAACCCGGGAGACCGTCTACTTTGTTACTTCCCCGCTCCTCTGTCCGATCCCTACACGAAATTGCGCACATTTTGCCGAAGCAGCGTCAGTTTCTGCATTGCTAGCGATTTCGAATTTCTCCCACCCCGTGATACTGCTGCTCTGTGGTTTTATCTGATGACTCATCAGCTAGCCTTTCGTTCCGATTTACATACAAACTCGCCATCTTATCTCCGTCTTTTGCTTCGCGTTGCATTTCCGCTCGTTTCTTCGTCGAGTGACAAAAAGTGCGATGCACCCTAGCATGCCTTCGTCCTGAAGTGTTTTCTCTCCCTGTACCTGGGTCGTATTTATACTTGAACCAGTGTCCCAGGCTGAGTCCGGGATGGTAAAAATAATCGAGTGGGTTTAGCTCTGCCGCCTGGACTGCAGACAGGACAGAGCGCTGTCACACATGTTTTTTCTTCTACACGATTCGGCGGCATCTTTCGGTTAGTTGACATTTCTCGCTGAGGTCGTTGGTTCGGAACGTTTAACTAACCATCACTGGCATCGAAATGCGTTCTCTTCTGCCTTATTGGCTTAAAACAGCCAATCAACTACCAGGAAAGCACCCTCCAGGCTGACTGATGGACGGGCGCTGGTAAGACCCCAGTTTTATGGTGCTATTGACTCATCGATTTGCCACCATCTGCTAGCTATGTGCTCAATGTGACCGTTATGACACTTCAACTTTGATGGAATCCGAGCTATCCCTTTTTGTGAAAACCTGACGCATTTGAGGGGGAACAGGTCGTCTGTACCACACAGGTGTCCGAGCCCGCCTGTGGTCGTCCTGACTCTTGCCACCGGGCCCATGTACGTGAGGGAGGAGGGTGTGCGTCAGATGCTGCGCAAGTCCGCTCCATGTGCAAGTTACTGTCCTGCCCCACGCTATAGGGCACACGGTGAACCTCATCGTTTGCGGTGTTTTAACTGTCAGCGCAACTTTCTCAGCCGATGCATACGCAAACGAGACTAGGGGTTAAATCGCTCCGACTCCAAGTTTTGGTGGACACTTCTGTCTTAAAGGATCTCTCGGCGGTCGTCAGCCGCCTCCTCGCACCACTTGAAGCTGGAGTTGCACACACACCGGAGGCAATCATCAGACGCCAGGTAATGAGACCAAAATACCCACTGCCCCTGCGAAAAATGTCTGGAGTTGTTTATTGGGTCTGGTACAGCTGTGGGTAGAGCAACTATGTTGGAGGAACTGGAAGACTACTCCGCTCGCAGATGGCTATACGCGCGGCAGGAGGTCGGAGAAAGGACACCAGCTCCTCAGTCGCGGCTCATTCGGCGAGAACCGGCCACATTTAAGTCCGACGAGGCCGAAATTCTCTAGAAAGGTGACAATGACATGGTCCGCAGGCTGCCTTAGTCATCGCTCACTGTCCCCTCCCCTGCGTGTTGGAACTTCGCGTGGGCAGAGAAATTGGGCACACGAGGAGCGCGCAGGCGAACACGGTCACATCGCCCGTGTCGGTGACCCAGATGGCGGCGTAGTCGTCACACCAACATCCAGCACGGTTGATTAAACTGCAACGATTAACAACTTGAATGCCGACAACCAAGCGATCCTCGCATCAGGGACAGCCGTCCTCAATGAAGAGGGAGCCTTTAATTTTCATAGGTATGCGGCAGCGTAGTCACTGCATCCCGTACATACTTTAACCCCCTTGTGTATGAATTACCCGTATCTGATGCTGGCAGGTTTTGATGGGCTCAGGAATGAATCTGAAACGTCGGGCAGATATAGCTGTTGTACCAGCGGTCGCATCTACTTTCTGCACCCCGGCACTCGCATTTTCGCTAGTACGCGAAAAGTGTTTGCTTACTTTGATTTAATACTCAGTCGCATACGTTGGTCGGTGGCGTTACTGACTGAAGAGCGAATCTAGCAATCCAAGGGTAGTTGCTGTGCCTGTTTCCGTTATCCTATATTAATTTCTATCTGAAACACCTGTCGTCTGGGCTGCCTGTGTAGTATATGATTTTTTTCAAACAAAAGCCACTGCTTCTAGCATGGAAAAGTTGCAACTGAGGGGCCTACCACTATCCAATTCATGATTGGTTCGCACATAGAGCAGCTGGACCCCCGGGTTAAACTGCTTGTTTTAAGCAAAGTGCTTATTAAATGGGGTGTCCAGCACGGGGTGTTTCTGAGTCTGAGCCTGTGAAACTCCAGTCTGAATGAGTTACTCGAAGTAAGCGCATTATTTTCTGTGGTGATTGAAAGACCGAAAATCTTAAACTGGAGTGTCTACTAAAAAGTACGCGGTGACGCTGGGAGACCCCCTAGTGAGCCGCATCCCTCGCAGCTGTGTCAGGCAGCGGCAGCATATGGGCGCAACATGTGTTTGGGTCTTTAGGCAATGTGGTAAATCCTACGACATGTGTTTCCGAGTCACTTCTTTCTAAAACTTAATTTGACGGCTACTCTCGTACCTACGTGGTGACTGGTATATCATGAAGGGTCCATGAGGCATCTTCCGAAACCACCAAAACCCCCTTGCCGTGCATAGACTCGGGTATCAGTGTCCTCTCTGCTCTGCTTGGACGAGATGTATTAAGTCGATAAGTGTCACTGACAAGGAACCCGACTCCCCTTTTTCGCTCTTTGTTTATACATCCTACCCTTTCCCCCTCCAATAACAGACAAGTTCAGGCGCAGTACAAGGAGATCCTGCTTACTGCGCGCCAGATGTCCCGTCAGATAACGGCCCTCTCCGAACTGCAGAAACGCTTCTCCTTTCAGCTCTCTTCCGCGGGTCAGCAACAACCGGAGCTTGAAAATGAGTTTTCCTTCAACGCTGAGGCCCAGCGTCTGGTATCCCTCAACTCGGCTAACCTTGTCTGTAAGTCTGACAGTTACTGCGAGGATGACCTTTATTTGCACAGTCTGTGCGTCTTTAATCGTCGCAAAGTTTTGCTGCATCTTCGAGCAACTCGCCACGACCGCCTCCAACCAGATGCACTCAGCCACAACCTCTCCTACTGTAGTAGCCAGCATCTACCGAGAGAGAGAGAACGGCGTAGATGTCGTAGCCAGTCTAGGCCAGTGTGGGTCGTTTTTCTATTACGCTTGGCGTGAATCATAGTAGAATTCGCCAGCCACCTGGACCGCTCCAGAAGGTCTGTTTAGGGGAGCACTGTCTACCACATCTGCGGGAGCTGGCAAAGTTACGCCTGTATATAATTGCGATATTTACGCCGTCTCCCCAGTGAGTTGTAGTTCCATTACGCGATTCCCATGGCCTGACGTGGGTCACCGTCCAACGTCTCCCACATTTATTTATTTACGAGGAACCAAAACAGACCGAGTAACGCATGTAAGGTGCCGGTGTAATCCCAGTTTCTCCCACCGCGACTGCAGCAATGCCGGTTTTTGGGTGGGGGGAGGGGAAGGGAGGGTATGCACGCGCAGTTCGCCCTGGTAAACTCCGGTTTTCTTAGACTGCTAGCTCGTGAGACGAATGGAAAGTGGTTGTAGCAATCACAGTGTGTGTTCCTGCCGTCGAAGCCACAGAAACGCATGAAGTCTGCATTTGCTGGCACCAAAGATGCAGGAAATAGGCTAGTCACAGGATTTCACATTAATTCATTCGCGGAGTTAACTTGGATACCTTTTTTTCGACGTCCTCTTAGCTTTATTTCCAGAAAATGGAAAGTGTTTTTTTTTCTCAATTCAGTTTTATACTCAGGGAGCTAGACAAAGATAAGCCATCTCATGAATTGTTGGAAAAATTTATGCAGAAAAATTGCCACCCCACCCCACCCCACACCCCGCTAAGTTTTTTTAACATTGAAGAGACGACCATTCTGTAAGAGAAGGAGCTGCTGATTTCATTCATTATTCCTTACTAGCCAAGAAGCATTTTGCTTTAAAATTAAAAGCCACAATTTCAGAAAATGGTTTTGATACAAGTCACTGAGCTAAGGCATAAAGGGAGATGTATCAAAAAGAGAGAAAACAGTGAAAGACAATAAACAATGTAAAATAAAAGTACTTTTGTGATTGTGATTTTGCATGCAATATACTGTTACGTCTGCCAGACTGTCAGATTGTCTCTGTTAGCTTGTTCTACATAACCAATGGGCACAAAAGCCGGCTCTAATTGCGTGGATGGGTTCCTTCTTGCTTTTTACCAGTATATTTTGGTAAGTCGGAAGTGTTTACATTGCGGTTGAATTCTATGCTGTAGACAGGCAGTAAAATTGTTCGTAGACCGCGGAAGGGAGGGCTGGTTGTTATCTTTAAAAAAACTATATAGTAGTAGTAGTAAGCGTCATTAGAATCATGCCTCTTTTACCAGGTCAACAGAAACATTGTCCTGCAAGCCCACGGCATTCCTTCGGTGTTTATGGATGCCGTTGTAGTCCGAGGCACTCAGCACGATGTCTATGAATACTTCTTTTGTTTTTGCCCGTTTTTGGTAACCAGCTTGGTTACTCTTCGGATTTAGTGGCCATCCGGACCACCAGGCGTCGAACATTCTCGAAAGTTATGTTCTTGTGGGAGGTTCTTCCAACCTATAACAACCTCTACCGTCTACGTGGAATTGCCTACAAATAAGACTTCATCGCAGAAGTAAATGCCCGTTCAGATTAAACAACGGTGTTCAATATACTCCTTTGCACATAAGAAACGCTCTCTAATCGGTTTCCTGCTTAAAAACATCACTGTCGCGGCCTTGTGCATTTCCTTTTTTATGCTCAGAGGGAGCACACACAAATGGCCTCAGTTAATAACTTTAGAGAGCGTATAATGGCACTTTATAGTGTTTCACAAATAACGTCGTCGTCTTGCCGCCCTGGGGACCGTTTGATCCGTCTTAGTCATTTCTAGGCACGAGTCTATGGTTATTAGTCCGCTACAGAGTAGGCTTACAATATTGAACACTTTCACTAACAACTCGGGTAGCAGGCTATCTGCTGCTAATTTTCTGTATCTGTTCAAAGTCTGCGGCTGACGGAAAGTGTTTCAACATATTTATCGCACGGCATGATTGAAAAAAGTGTCAGCATATTGCGAATACCCCCTATGTGTTTGTTTACACCTTGTACAGTGACTGACCGACCTCATGAAATATTGGCTGAAATTCTGAAACGCTTTTTCGATTTATTGCGGCATAATTCTATGGTATTTCGGATTTGGCAGGACGTCAGCTTTTGAATGCACTACTTTGAAATCTCCCGTAGAAACCGTATTCCATAAGAAACAACTACATAAGAAGCATGCATTTTTCACATTGACTTTCGATGGTCTTCCAAATTCAAATATATTTTATAGAAATCACGAACAAAAATGTGCTTTATTTTAGTCGTTTGATAGAGAATCACGTCGTCTTTATATTGTGTGCTCGGAGAAGGGGTATAATTAGGTTTTGAAAAAAGTTTGTAATTATGAGATTTTTCATGACCGTGCAATGTCCATTCATACAGCACCGTACCTGTCTGTTTACCACTGCCCCTCATGAAACGTACAACATCCAGTGCAAAATTATATGGATCCTATATAGTGTCTTTTTAAAGGCGTAGAAGAATACGTGATTTTCTTTACGGAGAACATATTTACCCTGAGCGCTAATGCAACGGCTCATCAGGCTCTAAATTATTCAGGAATTAGAAAACTTTTTAAAACCTTATTATACTCCCTTTTCGAGCATAAAATATAAAGATGATGTGATTCTCTATCAAACGACTGAAAGAAAGCATATTTTTGTTCGGGGTTTCTATAAAATATATTTGAATTTTCAAGGCCATCGAAAATCATTGTAAAAATGCATGCTATTTAAGTAGTCTCTTTTTACCGAGTACGGTTCCTACAGAAGATTAAAATGTAAAGCATTCAAAAGCTGACATTCTGCCAAGTCCGAAATATATAAGGGTTGTGTCCCATGATAATGAATGTTTCATTTCCACTTAAGTAAACCTTCCTAATCAAAAACACATTTCAGAATTTCAGCCAACATTTCATGAGATCGGTCACTCACTGTAAATCCCTGGGCGGTAAGACAAGATATTGTCTAGCAATCCTATTACTGCGTTGTACGTCACAAAATAGCACAAGTTTGCAATTCAAAATTGTTGAAGCTGAACCTACTCTTAGTTTCCTGGGAAGAATGCGATTTTTCGCATTATGTGTTCTCAGGTTTTCTCGGACACGAAATCCAATTTTTCAGTGTCGGAGGGCACTTGATGTAAACGTTTCTCGCCTATATTAATGCCCTCTCTCAGCAAAAATACGACCGAGTTTGTGGCCCTGGCCCGTGACATTCGGCCCAGAATATAAGGAAAGGTCAGATTTTACCAACATGTCCTGCCTTTCCCTAATGAAGCATCTTTAGAGCACAGTCTCCTCTAGGAAGGGGCTTTTCAAGCCCTGCAGGGGATACATTCGCTTGCCGTATTTCTGCTCTCGCTTGTCACATCACGCACAAAATGTGAGCACTGCTTTTCTCCGGCTTTTTTGTTCAAAAGAAGGGACACCTTTTTGCTTCAGCTTCTCTCCAGATCTTGCACTGAGTGCGCAGGCAAGTTTTTGTATTCTGAGTGCCTTAGTGGGCGAGGGCATGTTTTGGAGCAGCCACGCCATTTATTTCCCTAAAATAATTTTTGATATTTCCTCATGTTCCTATGAAAAGGGCCCTTATCATGCTAATTGTCTCTCTAGTCAACCGCGTTAATAGAGTTGTTGATATCAGCCTACACAAATGACCGGAATACTAGCTTCAATAAATTGCAGCCCCATTTTCCTGCGAAGTTAGTGTATGAACCGCAACTGCTAAGTATTCTTCATAGAAAATGTGATTGAATTTTAACGGGGATCAAAAATCGTTGGGAATAATGCCCACTGGTTTTCGTCTACGAGCACATTTTTTGGGATTTCAGTAAATGTTGTTGTCTAATTTCCCAATTCAGAATCATGTAAAACAAATTTGGAAGTTTGGAAAATTCAATTTTATGGATTCTGTGTGCATCGAACGCCTCAGAATGTGTAGATTGCCCCGTTTTAGAAAATGTTTGGGTCGAGTCATGAATGGATCTGCGAAAGGGATGCCAGGTGACCGCTGGGCGCAATGTTCTCAATGACTCCAAAACATTTCTAAACGCCCAACCTACACAATTGAAAGCCTGTACTTACAGTAGAGTTTCCCACAAGGGGGAAATGTTTGCTGTCAGCAGTTAGAAGAGCTGGACGAGCAGTTGTGTCAAAACGTATATTCTGATCACTTAAAGAAGTCCAATCTTGTCTTATTGCGTTGAACGGCTATCTGTTTACTGAGTGATATCAGATCAGTGAGCTTAGATAGCAGGGAGTAGTTCCACCGCTGCGATCGATGGCGCCGACCTCTGCCTCACGGGGTGGGGGAGCGGGAGCGGCTTGCATGTCAGTTCGCTTGTAGTGAAAAAGGCTTTTTCTGCATCTTCCTCACCCTCTCCTCTCGCACCCACTGCGCCCCGATAGCGAGACAAAGTCCAGACGGCCCAAAGCGGGAGTGGTCGTAATGGCTGATGAAGGAAATCGGTCCGTCTGCGCGTACCACACACGGTCTATTCGCTACCGAAGGTGGTCCACGCGGTATATGCGCTGGACCAACACAGGCGGGCTAGCTCGGAATCCGGCGGGCGCTATCGAGAATGCCAACATTTGGAGTATGGTGACAGGCCCAGTCGCCTTTTCAAGGCGCGCCATTTGAGATCCTTGCCGCTCCTCTGTTTGTATTTCGGTTTAAAATCCTGGTCAGTGTATGTTATGGACCACAAGGTGTGGTGGTACGCCTAGGAGCGGGTTTCCGCCGTGCCAGCCACCTGAGACCCCTCTTGCCTTCGACCTTCTTGACTTGGTCGTGTTACCGGATCCGGGTGGGGGAGGAAAGGCTGTCGTAGACGCTGCGCAGATCTACTATCGCGGCAAACCAATTCACGCGCAAGTCACCGTGCCTGCTCTCACTCTGCTGTGGACCTCGTCGACAACGACGGTCGAACTGTCGAACTATTCTCTGCCAGATATTAGGTATGATTTCGTTCGCCAGACTTCCTATATCTGCCCTCAGATCAGTAGTCTGTCCATATTACTTGGCGAAGACCACTCGTACCTAGAAGCGGCGCTGACATGAGCGTGAATTTGGATTTTATTGTGGAGACTTTCGCGGCATCAACCTCACTCTACCTCCTCGAACCCATTATGCTCCACTGATAGGAGTAATAATAATAATAGTCTTATTCATACTGATCGATGTGTCATACTGTCGGCATGGATAATCCAGACAGTTGTTTGGCCAATTCTGTACTGCTGCATGACGCAGCTGCGGGAGGTTTCGCCCATCAGTGGGTCTCCCAGCGTCCCCCATACGCCTTCTGATACATACCCCAGTCTTTGAGGTTAGTTCTTGTTAACATCCACAGAATGAATGGCAGTTCTACTCAAGAACAAAAAACGGAAAACGGAGATCAAGTGAACATGAATTGGGGGATAACAGGAATGTCTGTCAGGAGATAGGCTCAGTTCTAGGCCGAGTCTGGAGAGGTTTTGCAAAGGAATTTACTCCGAATTTTCACATTTATTTCTGATGAAGTTAATTACCGCCTAGTCTTATTATTAAGCGTCCAGAGGCTGCCACCAATGCAACTTGAATATTGACCAGGTCAAGACGGCTGGAGATGGTCATGTTGCAGCCACTACCCAGGAATATATTCACTTTATTCGTGATCCTTTTGGCCTACTCCGCAACTCGTGCGGAGTTGGCCTATTTCATCCGGATCTCACCTCCATGAAAGTTGTCATAAGGCCTTATTAAGTAAAATCTCTCGTAACTTGACTCTCAGTTCCCAGCACCGATTTATTCCGTTAGTTGGCAACCCTGCAAGCCACCACTTTTTGGCACTGTGGTACCTCAAAAAGCTGCAGATCTGCACCTCCCCCGGTTGCCAGCTCTGAGACTAATTTAAGCCGATTGCAGGTGGAGTCGCATGTTCTGACGGATTTGCCTCTTGCATGCCGTACGTGCCGCCAACGCACTACCAAGTACGCCAGCCACACCCCTTACGTGATAATTCCTCAGATAAACTCGGTTACTGCGCTATTTGGAGGCAGCCTATATACGGCGGGAGAAACTCGACCTGTGCAAACAGTTAGACCATGTGGTCAACCTCAGCCTGCCCTGGTAGATCTGCGCCCCTTTTTATTTGCGATATCCTTCGGCGTATTAACTTCCCCGTTTTCTTTCCTAGGTTGCGTTTTGAAGTTACCATCTTATTGACTAGTCTACGTGCAGTATACGATGACCTTGCTGTTTTATATTGATTTTCTCTGTGAAAGTTCAAACCTCTGTACCTTTCTCACTTGTTAGCTGTGTTATGCAACGAAAGGCTGCAGTTGGTAAGCCGTCGCGAAATCTATTGGGCTCCAATAAATTCTGCTGTCTATGCCTGCTTTAAATGCAGGAAGTTTTTGGATTCCTGAACGCCTGACTTTTGCATCGGTGGAATAACTACGTTTGGGCGTCTTTCGGGCCTCGCTAGTAATTCACTTGAGTCATTTTACATTCGATATGAACGCATTCGCATATAACTGATGTAAACTTTATCAAACTATCTAAACTCAGTAGCATGCGGAAGCCGTTTTAGATGTCTATGAACTGTACAACTCACAAGTAATCTCACTGATGTGAAGATTGCACGGTTATTTTACCGAAGCGCATAATGATTGTATCGAAGTTTTACATGAAATTCAGAGCCTAACCTAAGCAGTCGAGTTCCGGCGTGTACACTGCTCTCTCAGACTGATTAATAAATCGGCAGTTCATACAAAGCCATGCAACATTTTGACAATGTGTGTTTGAATATATCCCTGCCTACATCGCAGCTCATTTCTTCTTACTTTACTCACTGCTGCAGAACGCACGAGGTTTATTAAAAAGTATCATACGAATGGAGACGAAATTTCGAGTTCCAGGCGTATGTATAATTAGAGAAGAAGGCGGGTCGGGCACCGGAACAGTCTGTTTACTGTTTATAGTGTATCGTACAACTGGAAAGACTGTTTCTGGCTTATTTGCCGTCTTCGGCCGGCGACACCCTTATCCCATACGGCCATTGCTACTGATATGATGCAAGTAGTTAATACCGAGTTGCTTGATCGATACCTCCCTGCAGCCGAAGTCAGCCCTTCGACTCAGCATATGCGCGGAAGGTTGCGTATAGTAGATTTACAACTTTTCTTCCCCGTAAACTTGCATTCCTGATTTCACAAAAGTTGTTTAAATCCGCACTTGTCACCCAGCTAGGTCTTATGTTTGCTTTGTAATTCGAAGCAGTCTGATCCGTGCTTGTCAGCTGACTAGATCCAGTACTCGTCTCTACCATCTGGGTTCCCTACCTCTTCCTCCGGCAGCTGCGCTAGATGTCTTCTGTGGTGGTCTGGAGACCTTCTGCAACCGCACAGTGCCCGACACCCTCGCCACCATCCGCAACCTTGAGCAGTCTCGCATCGTCTATGACGCTTATCGGGGCGATATGGAACGTCTGCACATACCTCAGGATCCCCCCACAACCTCGCCGGGCAGTGCTGAGACGGTGAAAGACCAACGACCACCACCACAACAACAACAACAGCAGCATCGGCAGGAACAGCAGCAACATCAAATACGCAAAAAGTTTGAAGACAGCCGAGAGAAGTACTGTGAAGTCAGGGCAGCTGTAGACGTGAAGATAAATATGCTACACGAGAACCGAGTAAGTGTCCTTCCAGCTTGTGCTGTTCCCACTTACTGCCGACTCTACCAGGTGCCTATGACATCATCACCTCGTCATAATCGCAGCTAGTATCCGTGAGGGCCTTAGGGACTGCGCGGGGCGTATTGTCGTTTTCAGACTGCTTATTCTTTGCGGTGTGGTATTCGAGCGCTGTTGAGTCGCCTGCATTGTTACTGCTAAAGTCGCCGCGCCAAAACTCGTGGAACGACACTGTTTATGAAGTTATTCTTCCTTGAGCACGTACGTTTCCTGAATGATTAGATTGGGGTTCTTTACCGCTTTGAACGGCCGTTCTAGAAAGTAGATTGTCGAACAACAAACTGGCTTTCCATTGTAAGCTGAACGAGGGAACCTGGGGCTATTTTACTACTTCTTTTTTAGAGCGCACACGTTCTAGAAGTGTTTTCCGAATCCTTTGATACCTCGACGTAACTTTGTCCTTCCATGGCAACTGACGAGAACCACCGGTTACCCTTACGTAAGTAGAATACAACGGACGAAGACAAGTGGGGACTGGAGTAGCCGTTTCTGGATTACCAGCTTTCATCAGCCGGCCATACTCAGCCCCAGGTCTTTTGTAACGCCTGAGGTCTAAACCCGCGACTTGTTGGTTGGAAGTTCGAAGTCCTAATCATTGAGCCACAACGGGAAGAAACCGTTAGGCTGCATTAAACTGCTAACCAACAGCATGCGGCTTTAGAGCCCCAGGGGTCGCAAAGAATCGGAGGTCCATAGTGACCGGCTGATGACGGCTAGTGATCCAGAAACGGTCATTTCAGCCCACTTTGCCTTGTCGGCAGTGGTATTCTGCTGACGGAACTTCAGATTGAGCCCCAGGGCACAGTGTGATGAGTATGTTCGATAACGCGATTGCTGAGCGCCCCTCTGCCACATAACGAAATTTTTTCCGAGTGGAGCAGACTTGCGAAGCCTCCATTTCACCCTTTACGCGCCCACTGTGTTCGTATGATATGGCAAACCAAGAAGACTGGAAATGGGCGCAGGAGCAGTAGGTGACGAGGTGGAAACCACACACACCAGCTGGGTTCTAGCGCCACGCAAATCAGTCTTCTATGTAAGGGCTCTTAGAAATGACATTGATCGTACTGACTGGAATGACACGGAGCCTGCGTCTAACGTGCGCACACACCTGCAACACATCTGCCATACTTACCGATCTGAGCAAAATTAGTCGTATGGCTGTTTTATGTCTGACGTACTGTGCTCTTGTGGTTGTCGCCATGTACGCATTCGTGTGCATATGAACTAACCGTCCCCTGCATTGCATGAATGCACGAGCAGGTGAAGCTCCAATCAGTTCGCCATGGGCATGCGAATGCCATAATAGACCAGTAGTGTTGTTTTTTGCTTGCAAACATCTCTTCGCATGACGTAGCCCATCAAACGTCATGTGCTGGTGGTGAGTTTGCGGTAGAGAGAAGTAGCGTGAGTGAACCCAGCTTTCGCAGAGGCCACCTCGTATGCATTATGCCTCAAACCGGACCCAGAGGCGCCTCCAGAGCAGGCGAGCTGGTGTGGTCTGTCCGTTGTTTAAGAGACATCAGCTGTCTGAGTGTTTCGCGGTGAATTAGTGGGTGGGGTAGTAGTGTGGACATTGCGTTGGATTTGGAGGTGTCCGATCAGGTCAATCCTTGCCATGAGCGTGATTTGACAGTTTATTGACTGAATTTAGGCGTTGTCGACATCGTTCTGCCTGTTGTCTTCGGCTTGTTTCAAAGGTAATCTCCCACTTTTTTGCGTCCGATCGCCATATCAACGAGGATTCTTGCCAGACATGCGTTAACCTCTTCGTGCATATGAACCAGGCATCATTAGGAGTTATGACCCTTTACTCAAAGAGGGTTGCCAGGGGCCATAACAACCAGACCGTCGGTCCGGAGAAGTAACGCGTTACTCCATCAATGACAGCCTTCCGAACTACGATTTCTAGCTCCTTGTGGCATCCCAAAAACCGCTCAGCTTAATCATAACGGAAAAGGTATGCACTGGATCGACCTTCCTCTTTATTCTCCCGCCAGTGCTAAGCCGAAGTTAAACCGACTATCGGGGTATTTTGATGTAGTCGATTACTTGACGTAAAGCCGCTGTCCAACGAGTGCCACATGTATCTATGGCTTCCGTTCAGGTCAGGTGCGCAAGTCTAACACAGCCCATTATTGAGGTCTCGCTGCACTGCATGCCATTCCAGTGAGCGCCGAACCTCGTTAACTGTATCTTCAAATGCCAAGGGTCGACCGTCGTTGCCGACGAGGTCCACCGTGTGCTCCACAGCAGGGTGATAGCAGGGACGGTGACTTGCGCGTGGACTAGTCTGCAGTGATAGTGCACTCACGCAACATATACCACACTTTCTCCCTCCCCTCCCCCACGCGGGTCCGGTGTCAAGACAGAGTCAAATGAGGCCCGGAGGCAGGTGGCCGACACGGCGTAAACCCACTCCTAGGCATACTATAACACTTCCTGGTCCAAAACATGCTACTACAACATAAATAGGGGGACGGCAGGGATTCCAATTGACGCGGAATGAATTGTCAACTGGGCCTGCCACCGCACTCCGAAAGTTGGCGTTTGTTATTGGCGCGCATCTCCGATGACGCCTGCCAGACTTCGACTTAGCTCCTCTGTGTTACTCTACCGCATCTACCGCGTGTTCCGTTTTAGGGGGCGAAGAATTCCAAACACTGACGTGAAACACCACTATAATACCGGACCACTTGAACATAAGCGACCTCCAATTCATGCCAGTTCTTTGATTCTTACTAAATATCCCGCCACTACCAGTATTGATCAGACTCGAAGGGAATATCTTCTCAAGCAATGTACACTCATCGATCGATTTTCACAGCTTCCATTAATATATTTGTATCCCGTAGAAGGGATGCCCCCATTCTCATTTGGCGTGGAATTTTGTAATTCTTGAATGGAGGGAATATTTTGAGCTGAAAAACACATAACTTCGAGACTTATTTAAACGCCTGCGTGAGTGTTCATGTAGCCTCGTATACAGGGGTTCATTGATGCTGTTTACAAAGTCTACAGTTTCTTGCTGAACCAGCAAATAACAACCATGTACAGTGAGTGACCGATCTCATGAAATGTTGGCCGAAATTCTGAAATGCGTTTTCGATTGGGAAGGACTACTTAGACGCGGTTGTAATACTGATTATCTTGCGACATAATCCTATAATATTTCAGACTCGGTAGGATGTCAGCTTTGAATTCACGGCTTTTCAATCTCCTGTAGAAACCGTACTCGGTAAAAAAATGACTACAGATGTAGCATCCATTTTTCTCATTGATTTTCGATGGTCTTACAAATTCAAATATATTTTTTAGAAACCATGAACAAAAATATTCTTTCTTTCGCGCTTTTGATGCAAAATCACGTCGACTTTATATTTTCTACTCGAAGAAGGAGTATAATTAGGTTTTGAAAAAGTTTCTTATTATGAAATTTTTAAGAACGCGCAATGTTCATCCATGCAGCATCGTAGAACATAGAAGCATAGAAGAATATTTGATTTCCTTCACGCGGAGCGCATGCACCTTGTCGATTGAAATCACTAAGCGCTAATGCAACGAGCGATCAAGCTCGAAATTGTTTGGGAATTAGAAAACATTTTTAAAACCTGATTATAGGCCTTCCTCGAGCATAAACTACAAAGATGACGCTATTATCTATTCAATGAGTGAAAGAAAGAATATTTTTGTCCTGGTTTCTATAAAGTATATTTGAATTTGCAAGACCATTGAAAACCAATGAGAAAAATGCATGCTACATCTGTAGTCATTTTTTTACCGAGTACGGTTTCTACAGAAGATTGAAAAACACTGAATTCAAAAGCTGACATCCTGCCGAGTCTGAAATATTATAGGATTATGTCGCAAGATAATCAGTATTACAGCCGCACCTACGTAGTCCTTCCTAATAGAAAACGCATTTCAGAATTTCGGCCAACATTTCATGAGATCGTTCACTCACTATACATGAAATACCCCTTCCTAGAACCTGCCTCATTTATACAACAGGTATCTAACTTGCTCGAAAAGCCCGTTTTTGATTGACAATCTTCCCAACTACTCAAGTTAATCACACTTTGGAAGTTTGCCATCGTTTCCTGGGCCTGTAGCTGTCTGCATATATTTACTGACATATAGGCAGAATGAAATTACCGACAAAGACAAGGGAGACTGGAATGGCCATTTCTGGCTTATTAGCCGTCGTCAGCCAGTCATAGCCAACCCAGTCTCCCTTGTCTTTGTCGGTAATGTCATTCTGCCTATATATCATGCGTCGCTGTGCGGCTGCTGGTTGGGCTCGAGAGAGAGCCCTTAAGGCAAAACGGAACGAGTGAGTTCTGTATGAACGATCGGTGAGCGCCCCCTACCATTTAATGACATTGCCTGCAGACCACACACACAACTCCCTCTTTCCTTACCACTTTTATGCCGAATCACGTCTTCCTGAAGGATAACAGACAAAGGAGGGGGGAGTAATGTCTTTACAGGTCTTGCATACCCTATCAACATCCACAGATTTGTTAGGGATTTTTGCAGAGTGCGCAGTTTTATTCAGGCCTACTTCTATACTTTACGGAAAAGAAATGGGAAATTATGCCCAGAGAAAGTGCATGTCATGCAGTTTAGCAACCAGCGAGAGGGCAAGCTACTGAACTTGTACTGGCAGCCTTTTCTATACGTTTTTCCGAATAGCATATCAGCCGAAAGCCAGCATCGTACTGTGTATGACATTGACTGGGGCTTGGGTTGCATACCAATCAGTATTGCAACCTCGAAAAAGTGGTTCCTTGGCGAGTTTCCGTGGTCACTGTACACTGAGTTTGTCGAAGCACTGTTATTTGAGCACACCAAAGACACCTACGCTGGACGTAACTTGACCGACACTTTATCCTGCGGCTTTCTTCGTCTTATGGATATGGTTTTGGTACAATTTAATCATATAGGACAATCCCACCCCTGGGTGAGGCGTATGTAGGTGCGTTTCAGCTTGTAAAACCTCAACATTTACGCACCGCGTTTCGCGACTGTTTTGAATAAAGGCCCCTACCACTCTGCGGTCGATGTTTTATCAGTTAGCCTTTTGGGAGGATCAAATTGTCAGCCGCTTTATGCGACAGTTGCCTTGGTAAGTAATTAACATAGACGGTAAAGTATCACACCGAATCAGGTGCCTACCATGCCTTCTGAGGGACTGAAGGTGTAACGTGTATCTAAGAATGCACGCTTTTTAGATTTTATCATTTATGATTATGTTTGCTTTGGAGTAGAGCCGCGTGTACTTTGAGGAGACGCAGTAAACCTTCTGTACGCAAATTTCTCACGACACACTATCAGTCATGGCTGGAAGGTTGCAAACTGACGGCGTAATTCTGTCCTACCCAGGGCTGAGGTACTGGTTGCAATGCCTCCTTCTCTGTGTAACCTTTCGGGCACTAATTTGCGTGAGTTGCGAATCCTCTCCCCCCCTCCCTCCCCTCCCAAATGGAACCTGCCACATGTGTGGTTAGGGGCCACGCCGTGTGTGGACACTCGTAGACGGTCTGTTCGTCCCCATGCCCACCTCGGGCCATGTCATCGTCTTTCTATGGGAGAGTGTTCACTTATGGAAGGTGGTGTGGAGTGGATGTCGGAAAAGTTTCCTTGACTATAAGCCAACCCCGCGTGCAACTCACCACTAACTTTCTAACTGTCGTATTTTCATCTAAAAATTACCATGTTCATTATCGAATGTGCTTGTCTTCTTCTCCTTCTGCTTCTTCTCCTCCCTCTCTTCTTCTTCCACCCTCTACTGCCGACCTTGTAGGTTGTGTTTGCATTTTCAATATTGTGCACACAGTAGCCTTGCAGGGCTGGAGTTCCTTCACTACTTCTTAAACTGCAATCCTGCCAACTAACTATTTGACAAGAGACTTTTTCTATTACGACCTAGTTTAATCTTCCTCTTAGTGTCTATAAATCAGCAGAATTTTATGGGCTCGTCATCCTCTCTCTCTCTCTCTTTTTCTCCCTCTCTTGCCACTCACCCCCAATATAGACACGTGTGATGAAAAAACAGTTGCAGATCCTGCACAGTGCCACGGCTGCACACTTCGCCGGAACCGCCAGCGACCTGAAGGATGCCTTCGCACGTCTCCCCAGCATGAAAAACGCTGTTGCCCGTGGTGGACAACCGCCTGTTCCGCCCCCCTCATCCTTCCCCGACACCACCCCTCCATCCCCGCACCCGGAAACTCCCACTTCCTGCTCTCCGCGCTACTTTTCTGTCGACCCGAACGCCGAATCTAAGGCCTCCGGAGACGTCTTTCAGGAATGATCTACCGGCTCCTCTCCTGTCTTTTCAGACTCGCTGCACAGACTGCTACGTTGACCGATGTGAACTAGTTATTCCACGATTGTCCCACACTCGCGTAACTCCTGCAAATCCAGTTGTTACGTGCGCCCCCTCTTTACCTCTTTCTCCCTCTCTCCCCTGTCGTCGTTGCTGCTCATTTTCTGCTTCTTCTGGCGACTGAGGCCAGGGAGGGGAGGGCGGAGGATACAAAGAATGGGATCTCTCTCCCACCCTCATAGGCACCCCTTCTGATTTCTGCGCCTGTACAAGAGCGCATGCATGCCCGCCCGCCTCTTCATCATGCATGCCTGTGCTAACTGTACTTCCGACCCCCCCCCCCCCCCCCCCCCCCTCCTCAACCGCCTAACCCCACTGTTCTCTCACCTTCAATCTCTTCTGTATGAAAGCTTCATTTCCCTCTTCAGTGTTGTCTCCCGAGATGAATCTCTTCTCCTGTGCGTGCGTGCGTGCGTCCGTGCGTGCCCGCGAGCACATCTGGGTCGGACTGGTTTAGCTGTCTTCCGGCCGCACAGGGCCTCGAGCAAATTCACCTTGGCCGTTGCCAATTTATGGCATTAGGACTGCGTCGTCCCTACCGCCTTAGTTGCACAGCCACAGAATCTGAGCACTATCGACTTAACTCTTCCAAACGGTATGCCCCACATCTGCTTGGAAGGGTTATCTTGGCCATTTTCAGCTTGTACGCCTGAAAAGCAATCGCCCCTACCCACTATTCGGGTTGGGTGGGTACAGACTCGTGAGCGAAGTTAGCCAGTCGACAGGCCGGGTGAGAGACTTCAGGGCCTTAAGGCCGGCCTTTGCCATGTCTTTAGGTGGCCACATCGATGCCGCTGCCAGCCACGCTCGAGCGAGATAACCTACCGGACGATTTCAACTTGAGGTCATTGTGCGGCACGTGGTCGACTCACCTAAGTCGGCAAGTGAGTAGGGCGCGGTTGACCGAGATTACTTTTTTCCGCCCAGCGTTATGGCCGTTTGTTAGAGGTGCCACCGAAGAGATTGGTGGAGGACGTGTATTGCAGGCGCCACGATTTGTAACACTACTGTACTTTTTTAGCCCATGTTGGAGGATTTAGCCCTCCGCCTAATTCAATCTGCTGATGAAGCTCCAAGTGTTCCACACTTTGGGGTTGTGTATGACTGACTGACGACGGCTTATAGGCCAGAAATGACCATTCCAGTCTCCCCTGTCCTTGTCGGTAATATCATTCTGCCTATATCATGCACGGCTGCTGGTTGGGCTCGAGAGAGAGAGCTCGAAAGGCATAACGGGACGAGTGAGTTCCGTAGAAACGATCGGTGAGCGCCCCTCTACCGCCGTGAATTGTTTGCTTGGTATAATTACGTGGACACAATTTCTGCACAAGAAAATAACATGTAATTGAAAGGACTGGATAAGCAAGCAAAGTGCGCTATGGTTAGGACGTCCAGAAATTCTCACATCAGCTTCCGTTTTCAAGTTTCATGAGATAGGTCACGTACTGCAGGAGCTCCACAAAAATGTAAGCAAAGGTTGAACCAAGTGGACTTCCCATTGCCACTCCGTCAGTCTGTCTGTATAGCTGTCCATTAAACAAGAATCAGACATTCATCGCACAATGTTGCTGCAATTCACGTAGTATTTTGGGTGACAGCCAATAGGAGCGACTGCCTTCGATTCAGCAAGTTGACCTAAAGTTGAAATTGTGGAGCTGGCCGCTGTGGACGTCGGAGGATGCCTATGTCCTACTGTATTAGTATGTAAGAGTTGAGATGCCTTCTTCAAGGGACTAACGCAAGACAAAAAAATCTCTATATTCGTCAGCAAACAGCTCACATTACGTCGCAACTGCACTCTTCGGGCATAAGCTGCTATTTCCCTTAACCCAAATCACAGTAAAAAAAAATGAGTGTAATACTTGCCCCAAATTATCGTCTTTGATGCTTGCTCTGTTTTAGATCGCGGTCGAGATAATCGTGCGCCTCCACTCTACGTGATTTGTCCGACATACACACTGGCCTCCGATCTTCATCAACAGTCGAGTCCTTTCTACAATCACTGCCGATTTAGGGTAGTTTTTAGTCTCATTCAACCAACCGTTGAGAGAATGTTTTAGGCGCGTTTTTGTGTGATGACTATTTGCCGTCGCGGCTTCCAGACAGAAGCAAGATCTGCGGTAACTTTTGCACTCCGCGTACACGCAACCGGCAGAGCGTGTGTGAGGAGTGTTCGGCTCACAACCGCTGATGTCGAATGATGGGGAGCCGAAAGAAAAGTCGGCCTACTGTTGGGCAAGCAGATATGTTTGAAAAAAATGGAATTCGAGCGAGACGCCATTTTCCCGTGGCGGTGACTAGCCCGTTTTGACCTAGAGCGTTTTCAGATGTGACACGCTCTTCCCGTGGGAAGCTATCTTAGCTGCAGATCGGCTAAATGTGGGCAAAAGTTGTAAATACTCCTGAAAAGGCGAGTTCTAGACGAAGATTGGGGTGGGGGGGGGGCTTTTAAAAAGGCATGATCAGCTCAATTAGGATCAGCAGCTTTTGCTGAATAGTTGGCGATGTATAGGTACAAAATGGTAAAAGGCTAGTCTAACCGTAACTCATTCTGACAGTGTTTGCAGGTAAAGTATGTATATAATTTATGTTCGCATAGGACAGAACTTTGTTGATGAAATTCCTCAGACCACATCTTTAATAGACTGGAGTGTAAATGAAATGTCTAAAAGCAATCCACGTGCATAACGACTGCGCGGAAGTACTTCTCAAACAATCAATAAGCTGCGGAATACTTGATGTAGTCTGACTTGTTTATGAAGAAGAAGCATTGACAGAAGCCTAAAACGGGGTCCTATCTGATAAATCGGAGAACCCTTAAAACTAATACTAAATGATACCCCTAAACTTAACCTTAAACCCTAACTCTAGGTCCTAACCCTGAACCCTAAATCCTAACCCTAAGCCTAACCCCCAAATTCTAATCCTAACACTAAACCCTAGACACCTAACCGTATTTCTAAACCCCTATCTTAACCCTCACCTTAACACTAAACAGAAACCCACCTGCTGGAGTCGATATTAATACGAAATTCGTAGGCAAATGACTAGACGTGGCCGCGTTTTAGGCTTCTGTCGAAGCAATTATTATCACAACAGATATGAACATATCAGGCATACACGGCATAAAAACATTTACGCCGGCAAGCTAAGCTCAGTCACCGTCATCAAAATTCGGGAACTGCTTTGCTGAACAGCGCTTACTCCTGTTTTAATCCATTGTTTATGCAAACTTCTCCATGGCGACAAACACAATTGGGATTGTTGTAAGGCCCTGTACGGAGCACACCCTCACAGCATTCCATGTGCCCTGACAGACTGCGTTTCTGATAAAGAGTTTTGGTTGTTCGCAAAACGTCGGCTCGAAAAAGACATTTGTATGCACAGAAAAGTTTTCACTGCCCTTCGGGGCTAACCCTGTTAACATAGGCTTGATTTGCCGCCAACGGCCAATAATAGCCAAAGCCCAGGTGCTGACACACATATGAGGGCTGTCTAGAAAGTACTTGGACGCTTAGTTTCGTGATAGATGCTTATCTTAGTACTAGAAAGATGTTTGATATTTAACACACGCGGTTGGAAGTTGGACCTGGCTGCCCCCTATAAACCATCATACTTTGATCTGTTTTGCGGTCATCCAGGTTTTGGATCCACAAGCACTGTTCAGTGCATTATTAAAAACTGTTATTTTAGCGTAGGACTATCTGTGAGTGGTGCATCGATTTGATGCTTAAGAAGATATCTTAGTGGGAGCAGTGGGTGTGGTTGTTGGTATTCATAGTCTGACAACCCTCCCACCTGCGGCCCTACCAACTGCCTCTCCACAAGCGTGATAACCATTAGCAGTTTCACCACCGCAAGCGACTCGACAGCTGCCAATTCGTCCTGCCTATGCTGCCGCCACACGACGACAGTTCGTCCGTCGATTTCGACGATGACCACCGTGTGCCCCACAGACTGCATTGTGGGAGCAGGGACGGTGACTTACGCAGGGGTTTATAGTGCCAGTAGACTTGCGTAGCATCTACCTACACTCTCTCCTCCTCCCCCGCCTGGGCCCGGTGTCAAGACAGAGTCAAGAAGACCGGAGACGAGGGAGGCCGCAGGTGGATGGCTCGGACGGATCCTCACCTTGGCGTTCCACCACACCCCCTGAGCGTCTCGTCGCTCAGCCCTGGGTCGACCACTCCAGAAGAAGGTGTAACCAGCACCCACCTCCTCCAGTTGGCCTTGTTCGGAGAATCGGGTCTCGCTGAGTGCGGCGATGTCCACCTTGTAGCGCGCCAGTTCTCGTGCCA